GACTCCCGTCTTTCTTGGCTAATAGTAATACCATTTTTGATGACCATGGCTATTTGAAGGTTGAAGAACACCTTTCTCCGACATGCCATCCATGTTCTTGCCAACCTCAATCATCAAATGGCCTGGCACTCTCCTTGGTTGTTGTTAATGGTCTGCTGTCACCTGTCTCAATTTAGTGTTTGACTACCCCAGTTCGGCCAAAGTCAAAATTATTCTCTGCAAAGAGTCTTGTATATTCAATGAGAAACTCTTTCGCCCTCTGTCTCTGTTTTGGAGTCGACCTTCTTTCCAATTTTCTGAGTAAATCAGCCAAGGTTCTTGCGTAACTCTTTGGATGGTAATATGCCATCAAACAGAGACTTCTTCTGTTATTCTCGTATTTCTGTCAGCTGTACTACAACTGCACCTGTATACAACACCTTGGATTCCTCACTTGCTTTAATCAGCCTTACAGGAACTGTTTCCCGTGGACAACAATCGTCCTTGCCGTCAGTGCACTCTCCAACGTGGTCTCCTTGTACAATGACTCGACTATACTAGATTTAACCAATTGATGATCAGCATTTCATTGCTCATGTCTATTGTACAGTAGTTTTCCTTTAGGTTTTGATCATTCCCAACAACCATAAGACCTACCTGGACCAAACACGTATAGAGCATCAAGGGATGCACACTAACAGACTTGCGTTGTATGCTAGATCTGACCTGCATCTTCTTGATGAGTGACCACTTCAAAATATTTAGAACTAGTTCACAAGTAACTGCAAGCCCTATTCGGACCAAAATTGCTTAAATGTTGCATCTAATGATGCACACTACTAGATTATTATTTTAGTGTTTGACTTTGTCTTACTTAGATAACATTCGCTGAGGTGAGCTCTGCAATCTCTGATTACCTATGTTTAAGAAATATGCCTGGCTCACCAGGTATGTCCTGTACAATTTTTATTCTTCGTATGAAAATAATAATTTGGTAAGGAATGACGAGTTCCGACAACAATCGGAAAATTGAATTGAGTAAAAAGAAGAAAATGACAGCATGACATCCACAGTACTTTCATCCAAAATACAAAAAGAACAAGGAAAAAGCTGTTAATGTGACAGCAAACCGGGTTTTCGTTTGTGTGAACAGTACTGGCATTTCTTAAATAAACGGAAATGTTCAATTCAAAACTGTAGGAGTTGGCATCCCAAAAATATCTATGTACCCTTTGAATATATTATGCAATAATAAAGTGACTAAGTTCAACAACTTGTATTTTACTCATATATAATCAAAAAACTGAAATATAAGTACTATGCACATCTCCAATATATGTACAATTGACCTGCAAAATACATTTGAACTCGGATATTTTACTGGAAAAAGACGTTAATGGTAATCTAACAAAACTTTATGATAAACTTCAACTTTTCTATCGTCAGCTTCCCTTATTTATGTAGCAATATACATGTATCATTATTGCCTGCATATGGAATACATGTCTCCCAGTTCATTCATCCGCAAGAGCATGCTCTAAGTAAGAGCAATTTTTATAACGAGGCAGGCTATTGACAAATAAGTTGAAGAAACAAAAATATCAACGTCTTTTTTAAAGTCAACATTTCACAAATTGTATGGTCGATACGATGACCTTGTCAGCAAATACAATCTATAATTAGGTCGAATGTTGACTGACGTCTTACAAATTGTTAGGTCATTTTCACACTGAATTGTCTACGTATTTTTCCGTTTTTCCGATTACGACAAGGAGACGAAGGAGTACACCGCAGGTGTGACCGGTCGACAGGAGATGCTTATCCTCCATGGCACCTGATCCCACCTCTGATTTTTTAGAGGTCCGTGTTTGCTCTGTTTAATTTTTTTTACTGTTTCAATTGACTTTTGAGCTTGATTACTGTTCGTTATCTTCATATTTCATTGACCCTGAGCTTTGGCCTATTTTTCAAGAATACTCCAAACCGTTTCGTTAACTTATGTCTTATGAATTTCGAGAAGATGAGCTTTTATTTACATAACTTCATGAAACTTTCTTTCAATCTGTATTAATTACATTAACTACACAAATGCATTCTTTTGCAATCGAGACATCACTTAACCTTTTCCATCAATCAAGATAAAACCGCGTTTTTTTCTCGACTTGACGGGGAAAACAAAAGACCAAGTGATGTTTCGACTTTAAGGGAAAGACCGTGTGATGTTCGGTTGTTCCATTAGGTGAAGATCCGTATACCGACTTGAGCTCGTGAATCTGGGATATTGTTGAAAGTAAAGGAATAAATAATTAATTTTGATAAACACAATACAATTATTCATTTTGAAATTCTATTGATTGTGATTTTTTATCATTAATATTATATAATGCAGTCGTACTATCCGTGGATTTTTTCTTTGCTGAACTATAATTATGTTGTAAATTTTGGATTTACTAGGTGGAGGGGAATGCATAATTTATAACATTATAACTAATATGTTTTCAATGATGCTATAGCAGGCAACACAAGCATTCCTTGGAACACTTTAGTCTTTGCTTGTCAAAGATATTTCTCATTAAAACAAAAACCGATGCTACATGCCTGACAAGACCAATGTTTCAGTTGTAGAGATACAGTGTGATGCAAATGCTCTAACTTTCTTGACCTTGAAATATGATCTTGAATCTAGGTCATGAACACCGGGTTCGATCAGTTTATTCAGTTCCCGGAAGTATGATGATTTTATGCTATTTCACTATAATAAATTGATGACAGGTATGGGTAAATGTGTGCTTCAATGCGAATGCACTGATTAAGAGACAAAGGAGATTATTTATACCCCATCTATTTGTGTGTGGCTATAATAAATAAAACAAAATTTATTAGCCATTATAATCTACAATATTGATTATGATGTATATGCACTTCAATAGTTTGATTTAAGTTGTCCAGTGTTGAATGCTTTAATTTCAAAGGAGAAATTCTTTAACAATTTAAATGCGAAATGAATGGTTGTTTCGTCTAATAGTGAGTTGGCGGGGTACACAGTATTTATGTTTATGTGTAAAATCGAAGGTAAACATTAAATTAAACTGTTAACAATCGTAATTGAAGCGAATAAATATTGACAAATCTGGATCGACTAAGCTATTAATGGAATTAATTGTTTAACATTTGCGTGAGTATCCCGGTTAAATTTGAGCTGCACGCATAGGTTAACTTTGAAGTTCGGTAAAGGAGATGCATGTACAAATTAAAATTCATACCAGCTAGGCTAAATGGTACACAGTGTCCAGTCTAGGGAGGTGATATGCACAAAAGATCCAAAACATCAGCAAAATCTCAGCAGTAGATCATTCCCCAGAAACTGGGACAGTTTTGGTTTCGTGAATCTGAAGTAAGTTTACATGTAATTTGCCTCGCATTTTTAATATTTTTATTATTATTAATTTTTTTTGGTTTTAGTTTGTTAGTTTTTGTCGTGTTATTTTTAGCTTTTTGGTATAATTTTTTTTTTGTTAGGTTAATGCTAATTTTAAGATAAACCCCGACAACGATTATTATGGAAGGTGGTTGCATATCCAATGATTAGAACGAGTTGTCTTTTTTTTTAATGCAACAAATATCATGAATATTGACATTGTTTATACGCATTAAGTGAATTACAAATTGAAGTTGTAAATCTTTTTATTGTAGCGACGGGTTTTTAACATTTTGGTCCACAGAAAACTGTTCAAAAATTTCAAATACATATAGGACTGTTTTTGTATTAATTAATTGTATTGGAATGTCAATATCGGATTTGTTTTAATGAAGTAGCAGAGCACTCTGTGTGTAATATAAATGACATTGCATTGATTTTACAATCGATGTCCAAAGTCTTTTTAAATTAAGTCAATGTGAGAAGAAAAGAGCAACTCTGGGCTTTAATCCCAGAAGTCAATATTCGGTTGGCGCAGAAAACTCAGCGTGTCTTCTCACGAACAAACATCCCCTCCGTGTAACTTTGAAAAAGGTTAAATAATGAGCAGGTATCAGCTCTATTTATTTATTTATTTGATAGTCTGACACATTGTCTTAGACTTCTTACTTCTAGTTCAATAAAACTTCTAGGATTAGTTTCAGATAAACCATTTGATAAGCCTAATGTTTAAATTGGGTTTAAACTTGACATGTTATTGATTTTTTTTTTAGATAAAAACCTTTTTATCGTCAATATAAGTACAGTTGCAGTTTTATTATGCGTCATTTTAAGCATTGAATCGTTAATTAAATTTTGCTCTTTACTCATGCATATATCATTTTACCAATGGTAAAACAAATATTTTTTTTTCGGGTTATGTTTGTTTCCAACTTTATCGCTGTCACATCATGTTTATAGGTATAAATACGAAGGCTTCATAAGGAAAACAAGAGATGTAGGTATTGTGTTTAATACTATAAAATGAAAGAGTATATTCAAATAGTCCCCGGGTAATGCATGTTTCGATCGATGTTATGGATCCGATGATATTCTTCTGACGATGACACGATCGACATTGTCGACACAGATGTCCAGCTGACGTTATTCAACATATTTTCAAGCTATTTCTACAAATATAATCATACCCTGAATATATCACGCCTCATTTTACTGGAGCTTAGCAGAATATCACTCTAGAACAGGTTAGGTGCATTGTATATTTATACAAAGTTTCACAAAGTGCAACTTTATAACATAAAGTCTTCTTGCACTCTTATATATATCTGTACTTTGCCTTTCGAATGGTTATCTTTTTGTCGATAACGAAATACGAAAAATAATGATCGATTCTGTAGATGTGTCGTGGACAGATCGACGCTCTTTTCTTCTGATGGGAACTTTGGCTACCAGATTATCTTCTGCTAATCATCACAGGCAGCAGAGAGCATCTGTCCAGATAAGACAGCGTCTGTATATTCCGTCAGTGACCATCTGAAAAGAAGGCATGTAACATTGTGTTCTCTACAAACATTCTCCGCAATAAACCCGCTATTGAGTGCGCAAAACTGCACCGACTATAAACCAGTGGTGGGTGTTTATGAAATCAGTGTATGGTGTCTATATGCGATAAGACAAACCCCTACCGAGCCCCCCAAACAAATGCTTTCTCCCCGTCGTTGTCGAGAAAAATATGATACGCTTGTTGATATAATAGAACGCAGCAATTCACTACTCACTGTGCCAACTCTCGCTCTCATTGGGAGCTTTAGATGCACCTCCAAGTTACAGCTTTAGCAATATCTATCGTGATCAATTTGACTTCAGTGAAAAATTTTTTAGTTGTGTTTTTAGATATTTACGGAAATGGGGGTAGAGAGTGTTGAAGAAAAACTTGAAGAGCAGGAGCCTATGGCACCAACAGCTTCCATGGAAACGGTGTCTGTCGTCCGAAAAATAAAGGTAGGTTCTAAAACCTTTAACTTTGAATTCGACAATATACTTGTTAAAGTCGTATCTTTTGCGAACCATAATGATTAATAAAAAAAATCAGCTGTCAAATTCTCTTATAAATTTCCTGATAGAAATGGCGAGCTCAACACGTGTTTTAAATTTCTAACTTATCTGTAACCTCCCAAGAAGCGGTTCAATAGTTTACGATGAGCCGGCGGGGGTATTCCAGCACTAATCGCTCTATCAGTGAGGAAACATGGACAGTTTTCTTAACCTTTCTAATGTACTTTTTTTTTTAAATTTCGTTCTATAACAAGCGGATTATTGATAGCACCAAATGATGTAAAGCTTTCGACACACTCTGTTATCTCCTCAACCCCGTCATTAACACTTGGATAGATTTCAGAATGTGTCGACATATATATTACGTATTTTTTGCCGTGAATATATGCTTATATAAATGCATACAGAAGATTTCCTCTACAACACGTGCTGCGCAAAATTCTTTCACTTTTCTCGGCATACTGAAGATAATTTTGACCAATACTCAGTATCTGGTGTTCTATTGGTATGTGTAGTTCGTATTCGAATGTTTGTTTGTTTGTTTTATTGTTTAACGTCCCTCTCGAGAATTTTTCACTCACATGGAGACGCCACCACTTGCCGGTGGAGAGCTGCAAATTTTGACCTATACTCGGCACTTAAGGCCATTGAGCAGTGAGGGATCTTTTTCGTGCCAGCACCTACTGCGACAGGGGACTTCGGTTTATACGGTCCCATCCGAAGGACCGGTCTCCACGTCCCGTCTCCACGTTCCACACTGGGATTCGAACCGGCGAGGTAAGGATCAACTCCTTACTCCGCGACTCTATAGCGAACGCTCTAACCGCTGCGCCACACGGGCGACTCGTATTCGAATGTGTAGTTGATATAGTACATGTATTAAACATGTTAAACGTTGTCAAATATACTTGAGATAGTGAGTTTATATATGCTGTCTTATTTACGTTGGAAAATTGTACAATGTATATGATTTACTCATTTTACTTTATGAATATTATATAAAAGTCGTTTCTGGAGAATGGCCGCACACACTTTACATACATTAATCTCAAAATGCCACCTTAAATATTTATAGATATTACACATAGAATTGTACCTCGTCCTTTTTAGGTGGTTTCCACTCTGTTGTTGGTGGGTAGTCTACTATGTAATATTTTGTCCATTGCTACCACTTCGTGGATGAAGTCAAATGGCCGACAGGAGGGGCTGTGGGCTAATTGTGTCTCCCCGACCGGGGATATTTACAAGTACGAGTGTACGGGGAACGAACCCAGAGGTCAGTATCAAATTCTGAGAAATTAAGTGCATTGGGTTAACTTTACCGTACTTGATGATTTGTTTAATTTCTGTTAAAGTTAGAAAAATTCAGTTTCCCCTTTAAAATCAATTGAAAATTTATAGATAGATGAAAACTCCCTCTCTCTTAAAATTTTCATTTTGCACTTTTATGCAAACATATATCACATGTAGTTATGTTAACAAATAAATATTTGAGCAGTGATAACAGTTTACTGAATATGAAGACAGAAGGTTTGCTATAAAGTTTTCTTTTTCCGATGAACATAGCCACATTTGATAGATTTGATTTACAGATATTAAATAGACGTAAAGTTAATAGCGTCTTTACTCGAAGTATCTGTACATAGGATTTTGAATAAAATTATCGACATAAATCTTGATCGTAAATCTCGACACGGTCAGACCTTTGTCCTTACTTTTGTCCCGGGACCATAAATCTCCTTATCAATAATGTCAGGGGAACAGAAGGGGATTATACAAAATGTAGATAATGGAAAATTGTGTACAATAAATCAGAATTTTGTTTACTAGTAATTTGGCCAAATAGTTAAAGCTTAACTGAAGAAAATGATTAATTTTGAACACTAGAGCATATGCAATATTCCATTTCATTACAGGATATACTAAGCTTTAAAAATTTAATAAAGTAAATAAAATTGCTTGATAGTTAACGTTAATTAATTTAAATAAAAATACCCCGGTATTACTATAGCTGGTAGAGACGGACAGACTAGTATATAGAAGTCCCTCTTGCTGGTTAACGCGAACTTTTTTATTTTATAGCTAGGAATGCACAGTTGATATAGTTTTACCCAAGTATGTTCATTTGTTTTTGATCTTGAACAAATTGCATACCTTCCAGAATTATATTAGCAGTTATATAATTACAGGATTTCCACATATGTATTTATTGGATTTCTGATACTTTTACTCTTAATTAACATCTATACATTTGATATAGTCTTGCCATAGTGTGGAGACCTATATATATATATATATATATATATATATATATATATATATATATATATATATATATATATATATATATATATATATATATATATGTATATATATATATATATATATTTGTTATTAAGAAAAATCTAATATAGCATGCGAATTCCTGATCAATAAATTGATAGGTATTTCCTTTGCATTCATATAGAAATAGAAATATTGAAACTTACCCATCCACTCCATTATTTATTTATTTATCATGTTTATTGATTTATTTATTTACAAAAATACTGAAATTCTGAAAATTGGCATTATTTGTTCTTTATTTAGATCAAAGTAATTATCTTTGACGTGGCTTCATTTATAAACTGGATCATTTCTACAGTCTACAGTGGACTAGAATTCTTCGTGGCATGGATGAACGTTTCAGACGACTTGTCATGGTTTATGAAGGTTGCTGGTGTTTTTATGGTGAAGTTTACGTGTCCAGTTTAAAAATAGGTTTACAGTTAAAAATACCGAGTTTTTTGGCACTCTATATGATGTGTCGAATTAAAGATACATTCTAGAGAATGCCTACAGAACTCTGATGATGACAAACACATGTGTCTCCCCCAGACAAAAGACTCCTTCATCGTAATAATCAAAAACATCTCTTTCATTATCTTATAATGCTGGTTACTTAACATTCTTAATGCCCTATACCTGCTTTCATTATTCTTACCTACATCTTTAAATTATCATTATCAGCAATATATCAAAAGATTTCAAGATAAGCTGAAGCTGTATTATCAGTTCTAGATTAGGTTTCCTTTGAAACCGCTTTTTCAGCAAATATTATGCCTCCCCTTGTTGTGTTGGATCTGTACGGTGTATCATTCATTTACAGACATTAAGACAAACATCAACAGGTCGTCAGGTTAAACTACAACAAATATTATTCTCAGTACGTACTGTTTTTATACGAATTCATATAGGTTACCTTTATGACGGGTATCTCTTTGGAAAGGGAATACGCGTGAGCAGCTGGCCTATGGATATTCATTATGTTGCAGCGTCTGTATTGGGATTATTTATTCAGAACTATCGAGTTTCACAGGGAAAAGGATACATAAAACAGCAATTGTAGACAAAATAATAGTTTTTCTTACTATGTATAAATCTAAAAATATTTATCTTTATGAGTGCAATCATACAGATATCAATTTTCAAAGATCTTTAGTCAAACTATTTATGTACGTGTGCTCAAACAAAGCATTACGCTCTTGATTATTTAATCAGCTATTTTTCGTTTACAAACGGAGGTGTGTAGGCCTAATGATGCAGGTACATTGATTAAGCAAGTCCCGATGATCATGTTTTTCCGTCTTTAACATTCGTTTCTGCTTATTTTTTAGAATCAATTTTTTATTTACTAAAGAAATTTGCTTGTCCATTTTGTTAGCTCAGTTAGGAGTACGATGTTTGTGCATTGTCTGTTGTTAACTATCCTCATTTTCGAAGTCTTCAGAAAGGAAGATCCCAGTATGGCACAAGACAACGCGGATTCGAGTTTCTTCAAATCAAAATTGGCGCCACCGTTTATTAGACAAGTTTGGGATCATTTGAAATTCCTCCCTTCTAAATCTCTCTGAACTATTGGATCGCAACGCTGTGAAATTTTCTTTATTATATTATTAAACATATAGGAATCGAGATGTCTGTTTGCCTGTTCGCCATGCTTTGGCCAAAATTAAGGTATCTTATCAACTAAAAACTTGTTATTTTTCAAGGCCTGACACAATTGTTCATGGGCAAGATAAATTAAAGGGTGCATATTGTTTTCCTAACTAAAAACTTATAAAGGAGAAATTATACAAAGTGGTGCACACAAAGGAATATAAAAGCTATAAATTGGTTATTATATATTTGGATAAATTTCAGGTCACAGTATTCATGCAAACATGTAAAATTTCCACCCATGCAGTTAATATCAATAAAGCAAAGTCTGCAGAGGCTTACACTTGTAGTCTGTGTTGCAGTGGTGCTTGATCCTGTCTGATTGGTCCGTTCTTAGACTGGTCTTGTGGCTTATCTGCCTCCCTTGTAGGTTAGATTCTAATTCTGTCTACATTTCATGTTGGTTTTCTGGCTACAGAGCTACTAACTTTTTTTCTGTACTGTGATTTGGTGTAATATCTTATAGGTTGATCTACTTACAGTTAACATGACATTTTTGTTGCAGGTTGGTTAAATACCTGTGGAATACTCACTGATATATTGTTGTAGGATGGTTTAACGCCTTCGAATTTTATTGATTATACCACATCTTCGCCTGTCGAATTCTGGTCTGAATCACCATATTTTGATCTGCATGTATTTAACACCACATCTTCGTTTTAGGTTGGTTAGACGCCTGCCGATTTCTGGTCTGTATTGCCTTATGTTGATAACACCACATCTTCGTTTTAGGTTGGTTAGACGCCTGCCGAATTCTTGTCTGAATCACCGTATTTTGATCTGCATGTATTTAACATCACATCTTTGTTTTAGGTTGGTTAGACGCCTGCCGGATTCTGGTCTGTATTGCCTTATGTTGATAACCCCACATCTTCGTTTTAGGTTGGTTAGACGCCTGCCGGATTCTGGTCTGTATCACCGTATTTTGATCTGCATGTTTTTAACATCACATCTTCGTTTTAGGTTGGTTAGACGCCTGCCGGATTCTGGTCTGTATCGCCTTCGTCATGACCTTCATTGGTCTTGCCATGACCACATATGGAATACAGAGTATTAACTTTGGAATGAAGTATAAATACTACAACATCGCCATTGTTCTGCTAATTTTAGCCGGTAAGACTGTAGTCCTCAGTTATTGCTTATACATTACATCAGTTGGAACAGTTTATTAATGCCGTACAGTATATAGGTTGGACATACCCCTTGTATTTTGTTAAATTAGACTAAATAAATAAGTACTTATCTTAAACTACTGTAAACCAACTAGAATTTGCAAATACCAAATTTCAAAATACTTCTTGACAGTTGATTTTCGCATCCGAGACTTATCAACAAATGAAGGGGAACAACCTCTTTTGTGCTGAAGATGTATATACGTTAAAATTGTTGCGAATTAAAGATGGTTTACATATGTAAACATATAATCTTTAAATATTCTATAAACTTTTTTTTATAAACTTTATTCTTCTTACAGTGATCCCTGAATTAATTGCAGTGATTATATTTCCTGTAAAATTCAAAGAGGAACTGAACGGAGCTGGATGGGTGGTCGGTTGGTCTTATGTAATGGCTGTCTTGTCTGCCATTTTGGTCCTCATAGCTGCCATATTTCTTTGTGTTGATCGAGGTGCAGACGAGGCCTTGATTCGTGAAAAGACCTGTTATTATAACGAGGAATCTATAGAAGAAACCTTGGAGTGATCTGTCCTATTGTGATTCTAATAAAAGGATTACAGGTGTCCACTCAGACGGATCAAAGTGTTCCGGGAGCCTGAACCGTGTGTTCGAATGATATTCCCGATAAGGTTGATTTCTCCCTTCCCCTCCTTGAGATGACGTCACCGTCGCCATCCGACTTCGGGATTTATTCAGATTAAAGGATGATATGTATACCCAAACACCCTTACTTTAGTCATGGGCAGATTCCATGCTTTCATCAGCGTTCTCTGACATTATGCCGTTTCCACACTTTATCATCTTTATGACAATTAGTGGGAGATTTATACACATGTGCCATTACAACAAGAAATACAATTTATTTTGAATTGTATTCACTGGCGGTCGGGGGTTGTTGGGGGTGCGATGGATTCTGCTGACTGAGGAACTGCGCGTGTGAGGATTTATAAAGATCGATCTCAGGACGTCTACTAGCTCACCAGTACTACTATTTGGTTTATTTTGATCGATAACTATATTTTTATTGTGTTGAATAATAAAAAAAATGTGTACGAAAAATGTTTGTTTTAGAATGAGTGATATAATTTTTGCATTTTATGTTTCGGATGTAAAATATTTAAATTTCATTCGAACGTGGCCAATACTACTAATTCAGAAAATATAATCAAAGGCGTGAGACTTGAGAGGCGTATCGGATTGTATGTACATGTACAAATATTAAATAGTTGACGTAATTTATTTTTTCCATTTTCCAGTATTTTTGACAATATCCTCTTTTTGGAAAGAAACATTTGTGATTCCTTTGCTATACCAACATTTAAAATCTACACAAAAGACATAAAAGCTATAGAAATAAATCTTAAGTTTCTCGGGACGAAACATTTCAATAAGTATTAAAGTAGGCATTTATTTTACTAAGCTTTACCATGAGTTACCTCTCTTTTTCAAGTAAGCATGTTACAATTTGAAATAATTTTTTTTCTGTGGATTTGGTTTAACTCATTTACAATAACATGTATACAAAGTTTCTCATCACTTTTAATCATTTGTTAATAACAGATTATGCATGAGATGATTACTTTACCAAAAACGCTGTTAAGCTAATAACCGGAAGCTTTACAATGTTAATAAACTAACACAGTTTACTTAATAAACCTACAATTTTAAAAGAAAATTGAACAGTTCATTAAATTCGATAACATTTCGTCTTGACATAAAAACATTTGGGAATACACAATTTTCTTTCTTCTTTAACTTGCTACTACATAAATACATGTATAGTAAAATTCGTCACGAATATCGTTTTCACACAAAAAGTGTGTTCTATTATTTCTTTCAGGAGCTTTCTCGTCTTCCAGTTTCATTTGGTAATTTATGATTTGAAGTTCTTATGATTACTCAAGGTATAATCTACATAAATTTTAAATTCATGATTGATTGTATGTTGTTTTACGTCCCATTCGAGAATTTTTCACTCATCTAGAGACGTCACCATATACCGGTGAAGGGCTTCAAATTTTGACCTTTACTCGGCACTCAGGGCCATTGAGCAGTGAGGGATCATTATCGTGCCAACGCCTGCCGTGTCACGGGGCCTCGGTTTTTAAGGTCTCATCCGAAGGACCCGCAAGTTTCACTTCAAAGTGCCGAGCGCATGACGAAGGAACATCTGCTACCCATTTTCTATCGACTTAAGTCAGTCGCGGCAGAAATTCGAACTCACGACCTCCTGATCACGGAGCGAGCGCTCTACCGACTGAGCTACCGTGAACGGTTTCAAATTCATGAATATATTATATGTCGCACCTTTTGAAGAATATTGCAATTTGATTCCCAATTTGTTTATACTGATATAGTAATTTTGATTTAAAAATTTTAATTAGACGGTTACTATTGAATAATTGATTCTGATCACATTCATTAATCCTTGTACGGGTATGGCATGTCAAACGTTGCAATATTCGATCTTTTGCATTTGCATTGTATAATTTTCCATTTGCATTGTATAATTTTTATTTGTATTGTATAATTTTCTATTTGTATTGTATAATTTTTCATTTGTATTGTATAATTTTTATTTGTATTCTATAATTTTCTATTTGTATTGTATAATTTTCATTTGTATTGTATAATTTTTATTTGTATTGTATAATTTTCCATTTGCATTGTATAATTTCTTATTTGTATTGTAAAATTTCTTATTTGTATGCGATAATTTTTCATTTGTATTGTATCCGCGGACTGTTTATTTGTTTCGTTACGAAGGATTTCATTGGTCAAGTTTCAGCCTGTATCGGGTTGAAGATGTTCCGGATGCTCAAAGCAAACTGGGCTCATATGTATTTGCTTGCTTGCTTGATTGATTATTGTTTAACGCCGAGTCGGCAATATTTCAGCCATATTTCGGCGGCATATGTATTTGCGTGCATGTTAGACGGTTATTGGATTCTAAAAAGGGAGTGCTGGTAGATGGCAAATAAATAATTTGTCCTTAGGAATGCTGATTGAGAAAATAAATAAATTGACCTTGAGTGGTGGTAACTACCCCCACCCCCAAAAAACTGAGTTTTCGGGTTTGGGCGGATTTTCTTCTTTTTGTTTTTCTCCTTGTCTCTGGTCATATTGGAAATAAATATTCTCTCCTGCGAGAGAATGAAAATAAATAATCGGATTCGACACCCCCCGAGAATCAAATGGTCGTCCCTTAGCATGCACCGAAAAATAGAGGAGCCGAGTTTGTGTTTGTAGAGAGTGCGCGATCGGAATTGTAGGAAGGGTACCAGACTAAGTTTGTGATGGGCACCTATATACAGACTAAATTTTATGACCAATGACATCCTTCGTAACGAAATAAATAAACAATCCTCGGATACAATACAAATGAAAAATTATCGCATACAAATAAGAAATTATACAATACAAATAAGAAATTATACAATGCAAATGGAAAATATAGAATACAAATGAAAAATTATACAATACAAATGATTTTTTTTACAACACAAATGGAAAATATAGAATACAAATAAACATTATACAATCCAAATGGAAAATTATAAAATCCAAATGGAAAATTATAGAATACAAATAAAAATTATACAATACAAATTGAAAATTATACAATACAAATGAAAAATTGTACAATACAAATGAAAAATTATACAATACAAATAAAAATTATACAATACAAATGGAAAGTTATACAATACAAATGGAAAAGATCGAATATTGCAACGTTTGACATGCCATATACGTGTTCACCCTTGTAATTTGTGTGATATCACCATAATGATTTTTACACACTATTTACATTTACAAAGTATAACAATTGAAATTTTCAAAAATAACCCATTACTTTAAATTGGTCATAAAATTTGAATGAGAAGAGATAGGGCTTTTTAGCTCACCTGAGCTGAAAGCTCAAGTGAGATTTTCTGATCACATTTTGTCTGTATTCCGTCTGTCTGTCTGTCCGTCCGTCTGTAAACTTTTCACATTTTCGACTTCTTCTCCAGAACCACTGGGCCAATTTCAACCAAACTTGCCACAAAGCATCCTTGGGTGAAGGGGGTTCAAGTTTGTTCAAATGAAGGGCCACGCCCTCTTCCAAGGGGAGATAATTAAGAATTGGTGAAAATTTGGTGTCATCTTTTAAAAGTCTTCTTCTCAAGAACCATTGAGCCAGAAAAGTTTATACTTATGTGAAACCTTCATTACATAGTGTAGATTCAAGTTTGTTCAAATCATGACCCCCGGGGGTAGGGTGGGGCCACAATGGGGGATCAAAGTTTTACATAGGAATATATAGGGAAAATCTTCTTCTCAAGAACAAGAGGGTTACACTTAGTCATATTGATATGGAATCATCCTCAGGTAGTGTAGATTCAAGTTTGTTCAAATCATTACCTCATTTGTAGGGTGGGGCTACAATGGGGGATCAAACTTTTACATAGGAATATAGGGAAAATCTTTAAAAATCTTCTTCTCAAGAACAACAAAGCCACAATTAGTCATATTGATATGGAATCATCCTCAGGTAGTGTAGATTCAAGTTTGTTCAAATCATGACCCCCGGGGTAGGATGGGGCCACAATGGGGGATTAAAGTTTTACATAGGAATATATAGGGAAAATCTTTAAAAATCTTCTTCTCAAGAACAACAAAGCCACAATTAGTCATATTGATATGGAATCATCTTCAAGTATTGTAGCTTCAAATTTGTTCAAATCATGACCCCTGGGGGTAGGGTTGGGCTACAATAGGGGATCAAATTTTTACATAGGAATATATAGGAAATTTCTTTAAAAATCTTCTTCTCAAGAACAACAAAGCCACAATTAGTCATATTGATATGGAATCATCCCCAAATATTGTAGATTCAAGCTTGTTCAAGGCATCCTCCAGTAGTAGGGTGGGGTCATAATGGGGGATCAAAGTTTTACAAAAGAAGATATACAGGAAATATCTTTAAAAATCTTCTTCAATCTCAAGAACAACAAAGCCAGGATCAGTCATACTAATATGGAAGCATCCTCACGTAGTGTACAATAAGTTTGTTCAAATCATGACACCCCCCCCCCCCCCCCCCGCCGGGTAGGGTGTTAGACATATTTAAAATTCTGTTTTAAAGAACAGAAAAATCATGATTAGTTATATGAAGATAGAAGCATCCTCAGAAGGTTTATATTCAATTTCATTCAAAACATCGCACCTTAGGGTAGGGTTTGCCTAGAACAGGCGATCAAAGCATTATATATGAATATATAGGAGAAATATAGGAGAAGAAATCTGCTGACGAAGAACAGCAGAGCCTTATTGACTCAGGTGAGCGTTGTGGCCCATGGGCTCTTTTTATTACGTATGTCCATTACCTTAGACAAAACCTTTCCAAATATATATTTTTTTTTGACTCCGTGACCTTGAAGTTTGACCTATTTTTCAAAATTTAAATCTTTGCTTATAAATTTTGATTGAGAATAGATATGGCTTTCATATTTGACAGGTTCATTAACAGTGACAAGGTGTTTCCAAGCATGCTATGATTTTTGACCCCTTGATCTTCATATTTGACCTAATTTTCAAAAAAAATTAACTTTGGTGATTACTTTTGAATGACACGTGATAGGGAATTCATATTTGACAAGTGCATTACACGTGTCAAAATGTTTTTGAATGTGCTATGATATATGACCCTGTGATCTTGATCTTCAAGTCTGACCTAATTTTCAAACATTTCATTAGTGTTGCTAACTTTTGAAGGAGGGAAGATAGGGCATTCATAGTTGAAACATTCATTACCTGTGACAAGCATTTCCAAATGTACTATGATTTTTAATCCCATGACCTTGACTTATTTTTCAAAAATGTTAACATTGCTTATAACTTTTGATTGAGAGAAGATAAGGTATTTACATTTGACATGTGCATAACCTGTTTCAAAACTTTTTTGACTGTGTACTCTGGGTTTTTGATTTTTTTTTCACCTGTGCATTACTTGTGACAAGATCTTTCTGATTTCATTATGATATTTGACCTCATGATCTTGAAGTTTGTAGTTTTGAGAAGCTATAACCTTTGCCAAAACTGTTATTAATTCAATAATTTATGTCTTTTTTGTATAAAGCACAGACAAGACAGGACACACAAACACGTTGGTTACAATATACCATAAATAATGACATCTCATCCACTAAGACACTGAAAGTGGGGGGAACAAGATTCTTTAAATTTGCTTGTTCTCTTTTAGTATTAGTGAAAGTGAATTTTTATAAAAGATTTGTTTTAGGTTATATTTTGAATTTTTTAATTGTAATACTTTGAAAATTGTCATAGAAAATATCTTATGAGAAAAAGTCAAAGAAATCTTGGGGTATGTCTACCTCTTATAAATGCCCTCTTTTTGACTTTTTTTAATATCCTAAAATAGAAGATTTGGATCAAATTGTTTTTGTCTCTGAAAATCATCTCTGCCATAAACTTTAACCTTCTTAACAACTTTTGCAATATATTAATTAGATAATTTATGTTTGACAAAATAGAAATATATGACTGCTTTAATATTTTGCAATCATCTTTTCTGTATGTCTATCAGTACAATTGTGTCTGGGCCATAACTTTGTAATGAGAAACATTGGAACTTCATAGTTCACAAATACAGTACTTATGACCAAATGGTGTGACTTGACCATGATTCAGTCATATGGTCATGTTCCAGGTCACTTTCTGTCCTGCCATCATTTGTAATGGAGAAACTTTGAAAGCTCATACTTGACACAGAGATTACTTATGACCTGAGGGTGTGTCATGATCTTGAACCAATGTAATTTGGACAAAATCAAAATCTTTGGCAGAAAAAAAGGTAAAATTCATGTCTGGTCCATAACTACTAGTATATAATGAGGAACACTGGACATAGTTCAAACTTGACCATCTTCGCTAGCCAAGGGTTTCTGATTGGGTTTGTGAGGAGAGTAGCAGATCAGAAACCCTTGGCCAGAGAAGATTAAACTTACATAAAAAAAATTACTTATGACTTGAGAATGTGTCTTGACCTTCACCTAAGGTTTTTCAGGCAAGTTCTAGGCTACTTTCAGAATCATGTAATTCTTGTCTGGTATTTCTGGGACATAATAAGTTATTAATGAGAATTATAGAAAATGCACAAATACCATGAAATTTGTAAAATTACCATCAGCTGAAGAGATAAGTAGAGTATGCAATTCAATTTATTACGTAGTAATTACAATCAATAAATAAAATACAGCTATCTATATTTAACTGATCGTCACTTATTTCTAGATCTAAGGTAACTGTTACTATCCCATACTCTGTTGTGTCTGTAAAGATCAAATGCAGTCATTGGTGAGGCCTTGACAAGAGGCTCAGAAGGGGTGGAAAGTCCAGGGGTAGATAACTCTGGAGATTCTCTCTGGAATTCTGGTGAGAAAAACTCCATCAGGTCTGGCTCACAAGTTTTACTCTGACAAAAAAATTGAGATATCTATTAAATCAAGAAGCTGGATTATAATGCAAAACTGTAATTATTTCTTCATTCTATTAAAATTAGAAGTTCTCAGACAAATGCTCATGTATGTTTGAATCATTAACAAAAAAAAATACAATTAAAAAGAATCACATTATAAATCAACCCCTTCTGTGTTGGTTCTGTGCAATGTTTTAGTCAGTTTGTCAGTACATGTAACTGAACAATAAACTATAATTCAGTGTCTAACAGTATCTGTACAGTATTCTAGAGTATGTGTTAGTACCTATATACAAAGTCTCACTCTTTGAGTACCTGTACCTGTAACTGTCACCGCTAGTACCTTACAATATCTGACTGTAGCGAGTGTCTGTGTCAGTATCTGTTCATTATTTTAGTGACTTTGTGTACCTGTTCAATAAGTTAATTGTCAGTCAGTGTCTACATAAAATGCTAGTGACTGTGTTGGTAGCTGTATAGTATACTTGTGACTTCAGCACTGATACCCTGAGACTGTCAGTACCAGTATAAGACACCAGTTACTGTGTCATGACATTTACAAGTACAATATGATTTCTAGTGACTAGCAGAACCTACACAAATACACAGCTGACTGTGTAAATACCTGTACTCGTGGTTTGACTGGCTTGGCTCGGAATGTGTGGACTTTGTCGATATCCTCTGCAGGGACACTAAGGCTCACCAGTCCTCTGAAATGAGGGCTACTGACATTCACTTTAGATGAAGCCTGCAGATTAAAATATAAGTATCATTATCATCGTAGACACAACTTTGTTATACAGTTCACATATTAAATTTCTAATATCTCCTGAATGTGACAATAGTTACAAAGTTCACAGACACTAAGACAGATGAATTTTATTACATGTACTTTAGTTATTTTATCATTTGTACTTTTTGTAAGATTACATGTAGTAGCTCATAATAATTTTGTGTAAAATAAAGAAATCAAGTCAGAAAAAAGATTTTGAAAATACATGTAGTGCAATACTTGAAGGAATACTACTAACTTTTTCTCTAATATCTGATGAGACTGTCTCTGATATCTGTAACTTTTTATCCAATGCCTTCACAACATCCACACTGCTTTCCTTGAGGCTCTCAATCTCCTTCCTCATTCTGAGAGTGCTGTTGTACTCTGGTCGCATAAATACATGTTCATACTCCTGAACTGTGTCTGTGGCTGGGTCACTGAACGGGTAGGTGTAATCAGAAAGTGCTGGCTTCTCTTGGGTCTCCCTGGTAACTCGGACCTTTCTTTTATTTGTCCTATCTTTGATATGTTTTATAGGAGCATTAGGCTCTGTTTCTGGTTTTGCTTTAGACTTTCCTTTCTTTTTTATGTTGTCACTTTTGAGGACACTAATGACTCTCTCTTCCTTGCTGTTTATGGCTGAGGGTATGACGGGTAGCACAGGTTTAACACTCGTGTCTTCTGTCACACTTTTACTTGTTTCTGATGGGTTGTTTATACTTTCAGTAGCTAGAGGAACATACACAGGTTTATTATCTGTGTTCTGAAGTGCATACTTCAGTGGTTTTGCAAAAAGCTCTTTTTTAGGTTCAGACTCCTCCAGATTGTCAGAATAATCGAAAGGTCTGTAAGACTTTCTAGTCTTTGAAATTAAATCTCCATCTTGGCTTACCACAGAATTATCTGACACACTGACATCAAATCTTACATGCTGTCCATTAGAGGCACCAGCTTTATTCCTCTCTTGAACTTTCTTGTTTGCGATACTTTTCTCAGGGGTAACACATAGTTCAGGATCACATCCAACAGGATAATCAGGCTTTGACTGTGGGACAGGCTTCTTTGGTCTACCTTTTGTGACAGGTTTCTCTGGTGTTATACAGAGCTGAGGGTCTGGACCAATCAGATCACTAGTAATTCTCCAAGTGGGGATAGGTACCTGACAAAGTGGAAGAGATTCTTCGGAGCTTTGGGAAATGTCCCAGCCTGGGGGAGGGAAATCTGTATGTGGTTTACTGGCAGCATTGAGAAGTTCATAATGAGATACGGCACCATGTCCCTTGCCTGGTCCTGGATTTAATGGATACCTATGTGCCAATGGCTCTGTGGGCTGACAAATGAAGTGTGTGGCCATTTTACTGTATCCTGTCAAAGCAAAAGTATACACAGGGGTATTTACATAAATCTAATTAAATGACATGGATATCAATTTAAAAACAAGTACTTTTGAATACAACTATTCAAATAAAAAATAAAATTAAGTATAATTTAGAGTTTTAAATATCAGGTATTTCAACAAATCATAGCAAAGATGATACTCAAAAGCTTTCTCATACTGTTTTATTAAAACAAATTTCCTTAAAAACATGACCATATGCACTAATGCACTAAAGCTCACACACATAAATTATCATCTTTTCATAACTCATGCAAAATTCAATTTGAAGTATTAAGGTTTGGACATGATTTCTTAAGTAAGATATATTATTCATTAAAATCATTATACAGGAACTTTGAGAGACTTTTGTTTATCTTTAACTGCTTAAAACAAAAATAAAAAAGTAAATTATGGCTTAAAGGTACTTTGGCATGAGTACACTTATTAGCAAATCATAATTACTGTTACAAAATATGAACAAATATTGAGGTCAGCAGTTTTATAAGTGTTACTTAATGAATTTAAAAATAAAACAACTAATATTTACATGTTGCAACATGTTCAATTAACTTCATGTGTTCGAGGAAGAAAAAAAACAAAACCTATTGAATTAAAATGAGATATTCTAAAAACAAAACTGGATTTTTTACTTTCTAACTAAGAATAGTTCCTTCATTTTACATATATTTCGAAGAAACTTACAAGTCTACTATCTGCAGTTTTCACCTGTTTGTTTTCTCCGCCATTATCATAATATATACGCATGCTCACAGCCAGTTTCCTTCCAAAATAGAAAGTACAGTGTGCGTCTGCGCTAAATTCATGTAACCTCAGAAGACTTCAAAATGTCGACATCAACGGTCACGAAGCTCGGCCTGGGCCCTGTCAAGAGGTCTTTTGTACAGCTGATGCAGGTAACAGAATTCTATCACTATCAGAATAAGTGTCGTTATACAGGCAGAAGGATGAAATATGGAAAATTAACCTTGCTTCTTCCAGATTTAGTGGAAATTTATTTACGTAATTGATAATATTCAAGGTTGTGTAACCAAACCTTTTTTCTCTTTATTATTTTTAAGTTTACGGGACAAGATGGGATTAATAGTTTGTTTGTTTTTTGGTTTTTAAACCAAGACATTGACTCAAAGATCGAGTTATTTGATGGCTGTTATAAATCTCCCAAAAATGTTCTTGGTTATGAAAGACAAGGAAATTATTAAGATTGACAGTGTTATATTTTAACTTGATGTTATTATTTTAGACAAGATGTACTCAGACTGCAGCTGCAACAGCATCACAGCCAGCACGAATGAAGAAATTTGCTGTATATAGATGGGTAAGATTACATATTCATATAATATGCTTGATTTAATAATCATTTGCATGCAGATTCAGTAAAAGGTCTCAGTCTCCATTGCAAATTTCAAAAATTAAGGTGAAAAAATATTCAATTTCAACATTGTAATGGTTATCAAAAATATTAATAGAGGATAAGGCACAATCGAACTAACTTCGTTCTACAGTAAAGCAAAATATAAAAAAATCGTAAATATTTTTTAAACTTAAAATTCCCAATAGGAATAGGTACAGGGTCCGGTATCAAAAAAGGTCATTTAAGCCTTTACATGAACTTCACTAATTACAGGGACCTGTAGCAAAATTTTCTATGTAAAATCTAAAAATGTCTAGAAAGAACATCTCAGAGGTTCCCATCATGCTTCTAATGCCGTATTTGTTGTACAGACAATACAATTACAGACACGTGCCATAAGTATTCGGTCAACATGGCGGCTTGTTTACGTATGAAAACGAAAGTATCAATTTTCAAACATTCGCTATAATAAAATAAACTAATAAAAACATAATTTATGTTAAACTTACTTCTTAATACTTCGTTAGATGTCCCTTGAGCCTGATTACATTTAATATGCGGTTTGGTATGGACTTGTAGAGGTTCTGAACATACTCAGGTCTGATGCTTGTCCAAACGCCCCGAATTTCCTCCACGAGATCGTCTTTAGATTTAATAAAGGATATACGTCCCTGAAGCTTTCTTTTCACCAGTAACCAAAAGGTTCTCTATAATGTTAATATCTGGCGACTGGGCAGGCCAACTTAAGCAGTTTATGCCATTCCGAGCAATATATTCTTGGGTAGACCTGGCCCGGTGAACGGGGGCATTGTCGTCCTGGAAGAAATATCCACCCCTAGGAAAATGTCTAGCTATCACTGGCCACAGGTTCTCTTCCAGAATGTCCTGATATTTTTCTGCATTAATGTTTCCATTTACCGGTGTAACTGTCCCCACACCATTCCAAGAGATACAGCCCCATATCATTACTTCGTACCTGGGTTGCGATGTCCGGGGTTGAACAAGATCGGGTCTCCAACCTTCGTTTCTCTTGCGCCAGATGTGAACTCGCTGGTCATGTCCAATCATAATTTTGCTCTCGTCAGAAAATATTACTTTATTCCAGTTATTCTGAACTGTCCACCTCCTTTTCTCTCTACACCATGCAAGTCTTTTTCGACGATTAACTTCCTTCACTACGAGTTTCTTCTTACTCACACACCTTCTGTATTCGTGTTTATGTAAATGACGCTGAATAGTCCGCTTACTTACAGTTTCAGTCTTGCCTTCGTTAAACTTTGATGTAATGTCACTCAATGATTCCCGACGATGCGTTTTCACCAGCCTTTCCAAACCACGATAATCCCTTTCTTTCACTTTCGCTGGTCGCCCACTTCTTGCTTTGTTTTCCACTGACCCTGTGGTAAAAAACTTTCTTGCTACATCGATAACGGTTGATTTTGGAATTTTCAACATCTCACTGACCTTGTGACGGGACAGACCATTCTGTATCAAATCTATAATGATATTTTTCGCCTCCATCCCAAGCTCTCGCCCTTTTCTACACATATTTTCAAATTCGTGATTCTGACAACTTACGCTAAACTACAGACGACAACAAATTATCATGTGATACATCATGTGACTAAAAATCTAAATCTGGAAGACTTCGTCATCAATGACATGTATTACGAAAAAATGGAGACTCAAAGTATATACTTTCGTTTTCATACGTAAACAAGACGCCATGTTGACCGAATACTTATGGCACGTGTCTGTATGTACCTCATAAACATGATATTTAACTGTCCTGAGTTTCTTCTAAACTTCTTCCAACCTGTATTCTGAAGAACTGCAACTTTTTTCAATAATCATTGAACTGCTCAATCTTATGTCTCATTGTCACATTTTAAAGACTCCTCCCCCCTTCCCCTAAATAATTTGGGTATTTAAACATAAATAAGACAACAGTTCTCAAAGAAGAAGCCACAGTCAAGTTCACTCTATTAAGAAAACCATTTTGAAGAATATGGTCACTGAAAATTTGTCTCTTATTTTCACAGGACCCAGAAAAGCCAGGAGACAAACCAAAAATGCAGACTTATGAAGTGGATCTTAACTCGTAAGAGATAATTCTGTTACATTGTAACATGTAAGAGTGATAATTTTAAGCACTCATTTACATTGTAATTCAGAAGTTACATTGTATCACATAAGGGTAATGTAACCATTCAGTAGTTACATTGAATCGCATATAAACATTGTAACCATTCAGTAGTTACATTGTATCACAGTAGAGTATTCATTGCAACAATTCAGTTGCATTTTTAATTTTTTAGTACATGAGAGTGGTTATTGTAACAAAACAATTCACTTTCAGTTACATTGTAACATATAGGTGTGATTAGTGTAACCATTCACTTACATTTAACACATGAATGTAATAAGTGTAACCATTCAGTTACATTGTATGTGGTTATTATAACTGTTCAGTTACATTGTAACACCTAAGTGTGATTTTTGTCGCCATTCATTTACATTTCTGTGGACAAAACTATAAAATACATGTACAATTGGCATGTATACCAAGCAAATATTTGTACTGTGAAAACACTCGTTTTCTGAAGAGGGGAGGGGGGGGGGGGTTGGTTGGTTAAATTTTTGTCACTTTCTTGGTATGAAGAGACCAATTAATTCATGTCCTCTAAGAACCTTAATTTTAAAATCAAATCCCAAGAAGTAATACATGTATTTTGAGATGAAGGGATGTTTTTATTTCATGTAAGGAATAAATTATGTTCTTTTCTCAGTTTTTGAAACCAAAGTTAGACTTTTTCTAGTATATACATCTGATAGGGTTGTATTCTTTCTTTTTCTAGATGTGGTCCTATGGTCCTTGATGCACTCATCAAAATAAAAAATGAAATGGACCCTACTCTAACATTTCGACGATCATGTCGTGAGGGCATCTGTGGTTCTTGCTCTATGAATATTGGTGGAGGAAACACATTGGCATGCTTATGGTATGTACGAAAAGGACAAGTACATGTACTAATGTAGCCTGGATAAATCTGACTGTGTTCTGAGGTGGATATGGGAGTTGTTGTAACATTGTTGTCTATCAGTAAAATATGTGCACCATTAACTTTAAATAATGCTTTCAGAAGAACATTTGAATCTAAGAAAAAGGAAGAATTTAAAAAAGTGTTGACTGGCAACTTTCTTTAAAGAGAACATTGCATTTGACTTTCTTCTCCAAGGCATTATTGTACTGAACATTAAATGTACTACACCTATATTATCTTTTTTAGCAAAATAGACGATAACTTGGGTAAAACAACCAAAATCTATCCACTCCCTCACATGTATGTTATCAAGGACTTAGTGCCAGACATGAGTAACTTTTATGCCCAGTACAGATCCATTGAACCTTATCTAAAGAAGAAGGATGGCAGTGACAAGAATATTGGGGACAAGCAATATCTGCAAACTATGGGAGATAGGGCCAAACTGGTATGTTAATTCACATTTTAGGGTTAAACTGGATGCCTGCTATGGATAAGATATGGAGCTAACCTGGTACATGTATGCTTGTAATTATCAGAAATGGGTTAAAATGGTATGTTCATTGGGAAATTATTAGGGGTGTAACGATATACCAATATATTGGTAAACTGTAACACAGAAAAAAAGTTCCATATCAAGGTACGAAAACTTTTACCTGTGTGTCATGATATACCTGATACATGTATACCATTTTGAGCAATTTACATGTATGTTAATTTATTTAGTTCAACCTAATAAAAGTGGAATTTCTTTGTTTACTTATGCTGTTTTTATAGTGTTCAGAGCTTATTAAATGTTACATATTGCCATAATGCATTAATAGTGAACTTGATGAAATAATCTACAAAAGTTAATGTAACATTTTTTTCTGTTATACAGAAATTCTCATTTGAAAATATTGCAATATGTATCATGATACAGTCATAGTGTATCATGATATACAGTATAGCAGTATCATTACACTCCTAGAAATTATACCTCAGAATTGTATATTTTCATATACCTTTAATAATTAATGTAATCACTTATGAAAAAATTATTCTAATTAAATGAGAAAGATTCTACATGAAAATTTTTTAACATGCAGAAATAGTCTCGGACTAGAAAGAAATTCATACAGAGCAGTGAAATAGGAATGTAACTATAAATTGTATGTCTTTGGTAGGATGGCCTGTATGAGTGTATACTGTGTGCTTGCTGTAGCACTTCCTGCCCCAGTTACTGGTGGAACTCGGACAAATACCTCGGACCTGCCGTCCTCATGCAAGCATACAGGTAAACTGCCACTGAAGATAGGTTTTTGTAGGTGTCCTCACATAAGAATTGTGTAAATTGAATTCTCATAATCTTTCCTCCCCTTTTGAAAAGTAGGGACTGTATAGTTTAAGGATAATGTGTGCATGGTGTTAGAGATGCTTTCCTCTACATCTTGTAGTGTTTTGTATATGATAGACCATGTTTTTTTTTTTTTGCTATAGGTGGATGGTGGACTCGCGAGATGATTACACTAAAGAGAGACTTTTTCAGATGGAGGACAAATTTTCTGTTTATCGATGTCATACAATTATGAATTGCACAAAGACCTGTCCAAAGGTGTGTGCAAAATCAGGAAAAAAAATTTTCATCTCATTTTTCATTAAAAATTTAATAAATAGAAGCATGTGTCACAAAATATGGAACTTGCAAGTTTTTAAGTAATTATTTTATTGCAGGGTTTGAATCCCGGACTTGCCATTGGAGAGATCAAGAAAATGTTGGCCAAATACAACAGCAAAGAAGCTAAAGAACTGGCAACAGCTTAATATTCAACTAAACATGTTTACTTGAACTGCTTTTGTTGTAACCCTGCATCCAAAACAGTCGAGCATTTATCAGACAGTGCCACATCTCTGGCCAACTTGACATTCTGTGACAAAAAACCTGATCTGCTTCACTATTATCTTGACAATTTAAAGGATTTTTGTTTTGATACAGTGTATTTAAAACACACATCCTTTTTAAATGTGTAATTGGTCAAGAAATCAAATTTAAGTCTTCAATGTTATGTAAAATCATTTCTTGGCTATATTTTAAAATTTTAATCATGATAAACCTGCTATGTTGTTACGTTTATTTTAAAAGATTTAAGTATTTAACAGGTACAGTATAGAAATAGGTTGCTTGCTTATCCATTTTATTTATTGTATCTTTGACAATAAATTTGTTAAATTGAGAATCTTTTATTTTTTTGATAAAAAGTTTTTGCATGTATTATCCTATTCCTTATACACATCATCGTGGGATACTCATTGGTGATCTTGTCTTTTATTATATACCCAAGTGTGTATCGCTCAATTTTACTGTTGATTTCGTACAATCACGTGACGGTGTAATCCGACTTTCCGGATCACCACACTGTGGTTTTCTGAATTCATATCACCCCTCTCTGAAATTGATGACTTAGTACTCAGAAACATGACGTTATTTTTCATGCGCATCAAAAAGTTCCTTGACAATATGCTTTGTTTAATGGAAAAATCTTATATCATTGACCTCAAAAGTTTTTTTTAAAACTATATTTTGCTAGTTGTAAGGGGGGTATATAATAAATTTATCATTATAACAGTAACTTGATCCGAAGAGCCGTATCACGTCTCGTTGACAGGCGCGGAGCGTCTCGTTTGATCTGATGATCCGCGCCTGTCAACGAGACGTGATACGGCTCTTCGGATCAAGTTACTGTTATAATAATGTACATTTACTCAGTGATGAGTAAAACACGAGATCACCCGTGGGTATCCAACGATATATACACATATTTACATCACATACCAAGAAAAAAAGCATTTTACAGGGCAGATAGTGTAATGCAAATTCATGAATTTGTACATGATTTTAACATCACTTGAAGATACCACCCCACTGTTGCCTTACCAAAGTTATACATCAAGAGTTAGCTGTTGAAGTGCCTGATAGACACATATATCCAGTATATATAATATGGAGATCTGAAAGCAACTTCTTGAATATTCCTAGCATTTTACAATGATTATGAAACTATAGGCTCATGGGCCATCTCACCTATTCACCATGGCTCTGCTGTTCATCATCATCCTCACATGGTCAGGGTCCTTAGTCCACTCATGGTCATGGGACCCCTGAAAAACTTCATTCAATCTTATACAGACTGTCAAAAGCGACATTTTTCAGGGAAATTATAATCTTGATTGTTTTTTATCTCTCGGCCAAGCCTTTTGATGACAACCTGTAACATAAGCACTGAAGTGTCAACTGTTTACTCTCTGCTTAACGTTTTATGTAAACATATGAAAACTCCAATTTTATTGGTGCTTCTTCATAAGAGAAGCAAGTCTATAAAATGTTGAATTAAGCTAGCAGGTGTTTCATGACCATGATTGGACTCGGACCCCTGACGTTAGGATGGTTCTTCATTAGCTGATTTTTTCCCCCTTTATATTCCCTGGATGTAAAACTTTGATTATATATTGTGGCCCCATCTTACCCCCAGGTATCATAATTTATACAAAATTGAATCTACATTATCCAATATGATTCCACATAAATATGACTAATCATGGCTTTGCTGTTCTTGGAAAAGAAGATTTTCCCTATATATTCCTGTGTAAAACTTTGATCGCCCATTTTGGCATAACCAGACCCCTGAGGGTCATGATTTGAACGAAATTGAATCTATACTATCTGAGGATTCATATATATAAGTATGACCAATATGGTTTTGCTGTTCTTGAGAAGGTTTTTGAAGACTTTTCATATACATGTATATTCCCACTTATAACTTTGACCCCATTTTTGTAGCCCCACCATACCCGTGGGTCATGATTTGAACAAACGTACATTATGTAATGAAGCTTTCACAAAAGTTTCATCTTTTTTGGCCCAGTGGTACTTGAGAAGATTTCTAAAAGACACCATTATTTTCAATAATTCTTAATTATCTCCCCTTGAAAGAGGTGTGGCCTTTCATTTGAACAAACTTGAATCCCCTTCACCAAAGGATGCTTTGTGGCAAATTTGTTTGAAATGGGCCCAGTGGTCTTAAGAAGTAAACAATGGACAGATGCCAGCCAAAATGTGATCAGAAAAGCTCATATGAGCTTTCTGCTAAGGTGAGCTAAAAACTGTCAATGCTGTAGCCAAGTATATATATATATATATATATATATATATATATATATATATATATATATATATATATATATATATATATATATATATATATATATATATATATATAAAGTAAGACTAGAAGTTCTGTAAATAATTTATTATTGAAATTAAAATATCATTGCACAAAACCATATAAATCTGAGGCCTCATGTATACATGCATTTATTTGTGAAAATCTCTTGCATTGCCTTTGGGTACAATAAAGCATGTGTGGAAGACAGTAACCCTGGGATAAACTGAATTCTGCTTGGATTTGTTTCTAACAGTAACAAAATCAGCTATACATGTATATACCAACTAAATCAGAGAGAGATTATCACAAAGACATTCATGTACATGTTAAAGTCTCTATTAGTAACAAAAATATAGGAAAAAAATAATAGCACCAAGATTGTAGTAGAAGCATAGAAAGCATCAGACTTCATGATATTACAGATTCTGTGTCAAATCTATGCAACTTGTGGTAACTTGTGTATCAAACCTTTGCAAATACATTTGGTAACTTGTGTGTCAAACCTTTGCAAATACATTTGGTAACTTGTGTGTCAAATCTTTGCATACACATATGGTAACTTGTCAAACTTTTGCAAAATACATTTGGTAACTTGTGTTGCTATGAGATAATAAAACTCTATAGCTGTTCATAAATGATATCTCTATTTTCTTTCTTGAACTATAAAGGCTTTAGAAAGCATAACACAATGAGGTAATGGTAAAAAATATTGGGTTAATATGATTAAATTTGTGTATAAAAAATGGCACTAAAATCTCTGGATAGTGTTACAATAAATGGCACTTAACGATCAATAGCACTTGATGTGTACAAGCGATGAAGAAAAATAATTGAAACCCATACCTGGTTCAAACTATAGATCTACAGCATACAAGACAAGTACGTGTGCTTTAAAGGGTAAACCACCCCAGGCCGTACATGGACAGGACAATTGATATGAGATTGACATTAAATTCTGCTGTACATGTAGATCTACTTTCTTTAAAAAAGAAATTATGATTATGAGGATATCTAAATCCTCCTTAAAAGAACCATAATTTTTGTGACATATCAAAATTAAAACATTTACCCATTTCAAAAATAACCTATAAGTTAACTGATACATTAACAAAGGAATACATAATTAGATCTGCATGATGTATAACATAAAAATTGCTTATTTGATTAATTCGTTGAGATACTTTCAATATTCTGCTTGTCAGTCTTTTTATTATACATATAGCTGTAGAAAAAGTAACTGGGAGAATATGCTATACATCTATGACATTCAAGCCTTTCTAGCATACAAAGCCAATTGCAAACATTTTCAAAGTGGTAATTCTTAGGGAACTCCAAAGGATAAATCTGAATAATCTTCATCAAATGTAAAAAAATATAATGCAAATAAATTGAAAACAAGAAGTTTTACCTGCCGATATCACTACTGCAGCATCAGTAGTATATTTTACAAGTGTAAACAATTAATCTGCATACAACTTAGTTATAAATCAGTTTTAGGTGTTGGTCCTCTCCCCCTCTGTGCTGTTAACAGACAGTTGTGAAGGTTTACTAGTGACAGGATCAGCACCATTATTATTGACTCCAGATTGACATGTCTCTGGTAAATCAGTAACAGGAAGAGCTCTCTCTTTAGAACCCTGGCTTTCCACTTCTCCACTGCTTTCAATCGGTGGATGCTCCACCTTGTTTTCTTGATTCTTACTATTACAGTTAACATCTCCTTTATCTGTTTTATTTCTATCACAGACTGAGTTGATATATTCCTCTGACTTGGTATTACTGCTGTTCTTTCTATCCGTCCCTGCTTGAGTTGCCGGTAGTGATCCATCAGAACTTAACTGGCTGTTGCTTTTATCACCCTCTACACCACCAGTACTGACTTCTTCTTGGGCCCCTTCACTTTTCTTCACTATCTCAGCCCCTTTGTATCCACTTCGATCCACCTCTTTTTTCTCTTCCTCTCCCTGGTCACTCTGGTTTTTGGTAGACTTTGAGTCTTTCCCACTGTGCCCCTTACTACTCTGTGGTCCCTCCTCTGTCTCCTCCTCACTACTAGTGAAGCTATCACAGCTTTCAGACTTGGGAAAGAGTTTATGGGGAGGTACTTTACCTCTCACCATAGCTTCCTTGGTTCTTATCCCTACAACCTTCAAAATAGTTGGCAGCTGCTTCATGTAGTCTCTGTGTCCAGATACCTAAATACATCAAAGAAAAAAAATGTATACCTTAAGTACCCATATACTGCTTTAACTGAAATACTTAACAAAATTGCTGAAAAGATTTAACTTCTGGCATCTGATTAACTAAACAACTTTCTGATGGGATTATTTATTTATACTTTAAACCAAATTCTCGATGCCTTTTGAAAAAAAAAGCAGACATTTGTACATATCCTTTCACTCAGCATATAGATGAAAATGAAAACATGTAACTGAAATTGAGCAAAGAAATTTTTAATGTGTTATAAATGAACTGTAGTCAACAAATTTTTAAAATGGTATCATGTGTGAGTATTGTTCAGATTTCAGCGCTTAAAATTTATGTGTGACCTGACACTGGCACTTACTACATCACTTAGGTCTATGTTGTGCATGCGGCGATTATTCCACTTGACGGGTCCTAGACCTGCCACTGTTGTGAAGTGCACATTAGCAGTTCGGAACAGGAACTTTAGCAGCCAATCTCCCCTATATCACAAATTATTTTGAGTTACATTTGTACATCTGACAAACATGTCAATATAATGTATTTTTGGAATTCTGATACATATTTTTTATATTAATATAAAGAATATATAAGCAAATAGAAACATGTTTAACAATAACTGTACATTTATCTATACACTGAGTACACAGTATTTTGGAGGATTTACTTGGTGTATCCATTTATAATTCGGCCTGCTACAACATGGCTCAGCTTCTCCCACTGCTTGACACTCCCAGAAACAGGTGCCCCCAGTAAAACTACATCCTCCACTATCCCCTCACAGCCTGGAAAAGATTTGTTTCTCTGACATTAATCAACTTGTACAGGACTTCCTGTCTTCATTGCTCCCAGATGCAGGAACCAAAAGAAAACTGTATCATATACAAAATAAACAAGGTCTGGTAATGAAGACAGTTTAATGTTCTCTGGAAGTAGACTTGACTGGTATTGTAAGGAAATTTACACTTACACTGCAAGGGATTTCATTAAATCTTTGCCAAATTTACATACCTTTTCTCTTTACCATTTCCTCCAAACAAGAGAAGATGACTCTAGCACCAAGACTGTATCCAATCAAGGTGACAGGTCGATTTCCCTGTACAAAAAGCGGACTCATTACAAAAATGTCCTTAGCATTCAGCTTATCAGTTCTGACTAGTAGTACAACAGTAATCCATATTTGTGCTTAATGTTGTAGAAGTTGTGCATGGCAATGTACTTTGAGAGCACTTTTACATCTTCACATTTAACATCAATATACTGTTAGCATATCATTTTTGAAGAAACAGATAATTCTCTGAAAGATGAACAGGGACACCCTATCTCCATTCCAGGACTAGATACTACTCTCCTGCTTGATCTTCATTACCTGCTGTCTGGTCAGTAGAGCCTCGGCTAATTCTTTCCCTGCATATGTTAGCATATCATAGCAGACTAGATTACCTGTGACTGGCCAGCAGTCCCTCGGTTAGTTCGTTCCCTGTAGATGTAAGCATATCATAGCAGACTAAATTACCTGCTGTCTGGCCAGTAGTGCCTCAGCTAATTCTTTCCTTGTAGATGTTAGCATATCATAGCAGATTAGATTAACTGCTGACTGGCCACAATGCCTCAGCTAGTTCGTTCCCTGTTAGCATATCATAGCAGACTAAATTACCTGCTGTCTGGCCAGTAGTGCCTCAGCTAATTCTTTCCCTGTAGATGTTAGCATATCATAGCAGATTAGATTAGCTGCTGACTGGCCAGTAGTGCCTCAGCTAGTTCTTTCCCAGAAGATGTTAGTAAATCATAGCAGACTAGATTACCTGCTGTCTGGCCAGTAGTGCCTCAGCTAATTCTTTCCCAGTAGATGTCGCTCTCTGGATACACACGTTCCAGGGATTATCTAGAACATTGGCTGCAGACAACAGAGCAGAGGGCCAGGCTATGGCTGTCAGAAGACCTACAAAAATAAGCTGGAATTTAAATATTATCAATAAATATTATGCTTGCAACAAATCTTACTTTTATCGAAATTTTTGTATGCACACCATTTAACAAGTTAATACATGTACTTGTATGATTGATTAGCATCAATTATGTGTAATGTATCTCCAATTTTTAGTACATTCAATATCTATTTTTCATACAAAGTGTATTGAAAAAATGTTGAATTCACCATAACACAGACAAGGAGGTCAAAATTATTACAATGTCAACTTCAGAAATATTAAACATCATAGTCCAATGTCTTAAGTGAAAATCAAAATTCAGGCTCACAGTGAACAGTAACTGTTGCTCCCTCAATTTAGCTATAGATATGGTGTGTATTGCTTTAAAAGTTCTATTCCATTCAAAGAGAATTTACCACGATATTGGAAATGCACAGAAACTTTCTTTGTAGCGTAGTCTTGGGGATCTGTGAATTTAACTTACTACAGGCTGGGTATATTCTTCATTGGGGATCCACAAAAACTTCACTGTATCCTTAAATTTGCAATATTCATGTTTGTACTAGCGGTAAACCAGTTTTACTGTTTATGTATTGAACGATAAATTTGGATGATCATTGTATTATATCTTGGACACAGTGCAATCATATTTTAAAAAGGCATTAACATGCTTATTGAATTTATAAGCATAGCTGTCAGTATTATGACATGATAAACGTAAAAAATTTTACAATTCAATGCTTTATTTTATTTCACCATTTATGTTATATAATGAATACATATACCCTGTATAATAATTGTTTAGTGGAAAAGTTAGTCCTTAAAGTTTCCAGGTGAACTTTCACTCTATTGCTTTCAACAATCTTATTTACCAGACACAATGGTGTACTTGTTTACCAGACACTATAGTGTACCTGTTTACCAGACACAATGGTGTACTTGTTTACCAGACACTATGGTGTACTTGTTTACCAGACACTATGGTGTACTTGTTTACCAGACACAATGGTGTACTTGTTTACAAGACACTATGATATACTTGTTTACCAGAAACTATAGTGTACTTGTTTACCAGATACTATGGTGTACTTGTTTACCAGACACTATGATATACTTGTTTACCAGACACAATGGTGTACTTGTTTACCAGATACTATGGTGTACTTGTTTACCAGATACTATGGTGTACTTGTTTACCAGACACCATGGTGTACTTGTTTACCAGACACTATGGTGTACTTGTTTACCAGACACTATGGTGTACTTTTTTACCAGACACTATGGTGTACTTGTTTACCAGACACTATGGTGTATTTGTTTACCAGACACTATGGTGTATTTGTTTACCAGATGCTATGGTGTACTTGTTTACCAGACACTATGGTGTGTATACTTGTTTACCAGACACTATGATATACTTGTTTACCAGACACAATGGTGTACATTGTACTTGTTTACCAGACACTATGGTATTATTGTTTACTAGACACTATGGTGTACTTGTTTACCTGCCACTATGATATACTTGTTTACCAGACACAATGGTGTACTTGAGAGCCTCCTGTGTTGCCATGCCCATGGCTCCATTAAGGATATAATCGAAGGCTTCTCCCAGATCCATCAGGTACTTAGTCTCCCACCTCAGGCTGTACTGCTCACGGGACTCTGCCAGCGACTGCCACGGCATCTTAAAGTCTGAAATGGAGTGTTAATCCAAGTTCTTTATGTATCGATAGATATGTCTTACAATTCAAAAGATTGTTGAAGAAAAAGAATGAAATTCAATTTCTGAACTTTCCACATCTTGCCTTGTTTGTTTTGTTAATTGGCTAAGTTAATTTATTACACACTTAAAGATTGTTTGAAAGAGAAGATGCCACATCATTTTGTGAAAAATAGAATCTCTTTTTCAGTTTTTGATATTTTTACATCACATAGAAGACTAACCTGGCATTTCCTTGGACAACCATCCTGTGACGGCAATGGTCACATGTAGCTGTTTTCCGTCCATCATTAATGGCTCAAACTTAAATTCCTCAACAGCCCCAAATCGCCTCTTCATTTTGTATCCTAAATAAGAGAATAATTCTGAATCCCTCTATCATTTCTACATATTTGTTGAAGGAAGATCCTTCTATATGTTTGATAAGCAATGACTCAACTAAGAGTTCAATTTTTTATGGAACACAAGATCTAGTTCATAGAATCCTACAACTGAACAGTCACATTTGCATTCTGGATTTATTGACTTTCACATATGTAAATTACATAAACAAACTGTTTTATTCATAGCATTTTCTGCCCTAATTATTTTCCCCCTTTCCATCCTTGAAGCCAGAATACTGTATTTAATTCTCATCAGTAGTGCACACTTACCCCCTAGCCCTGCACCAGCCACCCCAAACAGAGACCCAATGATTGCCACGCCTGCTGTAGACCCTAGAGCGGCTGCCCCAGCACCCCCGATAATCGCCCCAGCACCTGCTGCCACTAGAGGAGCTGCTAAGCCCCCTGTCAATCCTGGAAAATGAAACAACATGTGAACAGAACAGGAAAAATATCTAACCATGAAAATTAAATAAAGGAAGTATTATATTAAAAAATTTACAAAATACTTTGTTGCAAAATTATAAGACATTAATTTGTGCATTTTGAAATTACCATATTTGTCAATGGTCGAAAAAAATGTATAAAATTGGCCAAGATAACAATGAATAGGGCCGAGTATCGGTTGGGAATTTTATTGCAATATATTGCGATATTTTAAACTGTATTGCAATATGTATTGCAATATTTTTAATAACAGTTAAAATGCTCTTTTCTTATTTTATTAACCTTCATTTATAATCAGAGTGAATAAACATTTGTGTTATAAATACCTTATAGCAAAAAAAGACTTCAGTTTTGCATCAAAATACAACCCTTATTGTTTGGCATGATTAAAAGCATTTCTGGCATCTTAAATTTCATATTTTTTTTTTAGAAATCCCAAGCCCAAGCATTTTACTGACATACCGGTACTGGAAAAACATATCGCAATACGATATTTTTTGTTAATGAATCACAATATACCAGAATATTGATATTATTGTGCAGCCCTAACAATGAATCTTACATCTGACATATCTGATCATCCCTAATCTTTGTTTAAAGAGTGAGTACTAACCAATCAGAGTTCCTCCTCCAACTGTTGCTAAACCAATCAGAGCTATTCTTTTTATCTTCTTGCGCTTATCTGTTTTGGCTTTCTCTTTTTCCTCTTCCCTGCAACATTTACCAAATGATATGTTCATACTTTGAAGCAATATTTCCATCATGGAATATATTGTTACATTTTCAATAAAATTACATGTAAGTACTAATATTTTTATGAGAAATGATCCACAATTTTGCATATTTTTGACAATATGATCAAAGTTAGAAATACTAATATGTAGATGTGCATTTAAAATCAACTTCCCCCATTTCCCTAAGATTTGAGGTTAAAAATTAGGCAATTTTTAGTATTGGTATAATTTAGGTAAAGAAAAAATATTTAATTTTTTTTATCCAAATAAATACAATGTGTACCTAATTTTTTTTAAACCATACACTTTAAACATATGGACATAAACAAAAAAAGTTATATGATGATAAAGATTTATGAACATGTACATCCATTTTAATACTGATGTACGACCTCAAAAATAATTTTGATATTGGGAAATGTTAGGACATTTACATGAATAAAATTCTAAAGGATACTGATTTCTAGAACAAACATGCTTAATATTTATATTTAATAAATCAATTAAAATGAAGATGCATAAAATATGAGAAATGATCTATTTAAAAAAATCTGAATGCTCAAGCTTTATACATTTTCATAAAAAAAATTAAACATATTACCCAAAGGTACAGTTGAATACAATTACACTATAGCAATATTTATAGATTTAGAATCTTATGTCTAAATGTAAAGAAGGATTGAAGCAATAAACAAATAAAGAAATAAATAAAAAGTGAATGAGAAGTGAACTATAGCTACATGTATAATCAATTGTGTGTATATTCAATACAACATTCACAATACCAGTACCTCCTTTTTCTGGTAAGCAGTTATGAAAGCAATTGTTGGAGAAATTATTACAATATATTGTTGTTTGGTTTGCAAGCTAGTATTCTAAATAGAAATATTCTTAATGTACATTCAGAAAAGTCTGTAATTGAAACTAAAGTATAAAGTTTTTTTTTAGTAAAAAGTTAGTAAACAGTTTAAATATAAATTTCCTAAGTTCAAAATCTAACTTCAATCCTACTCATGATGCTGAAATCATACATGTAAGTTTGTTTCTCTTTTGTCAGTCTTAAAGTTAGTTTTTGTGTCTGTCTAATAACAAAAATCTTTCTACTGACTCTGTATATTGTATGATTGTCTGTCTGTTGACAACTTCTGTTGTCTGATTATCAGTCTACTGACGAGATCTGTGTGTTGACAATCATGTCAGCATGGTTTCTGTCTAATGTCAACATATATTGTATGTGTGTTGACTATGTCAATCTTTACTGTGTGTCTGTTGACTATGTCAATTTTTACCGTGTGTCTGTTGACTAGGTCAATCTATACTGTGTGTCTGTTGACTAGGTCAATCTATACTGTCTGTCTGTTGACTAGGTCATTCTATACTGTCTGTCTGTTGACTACGTCAGTCTTTACTGTCTTTCTATAATGTCTGTCTGTTTCATGTGTTTATCTCTACTGTCTGTCTGTTGACTGTGTTTGTCTATACATCTGTCTGTTTACTGTCTTAGTCTATACTCAATATCTGTTGACCATGTCAGTCTATATAGTCTGTTGCCAAATTCAGTCTTAACTGTCTTTCTGTTGACTATGTCAGTCTATACTGACTGTCTGTTGAGTGTGTCAGTCTATACTGTCTGTCTGTTGACTGTGTTAGTCAAAACTTTCTGTCTAATGACTATGTCTATCTTTACTGTCTGTTGTTGACTGTGTCTTTCTATATTGTCTGTCTGTTGACAGTGTCAGAGTATACTGTCTGTATATTGATTGTGTCTGTCAATACTTTCTGCCTATTGACTATGTCTCTGTCTGTTGCTAACTGTGTTGACTATGTCTCTCTATACTGTCTGTCTGTTGACTATGTCTGTATACTGTCTGTCTGTTGACTATTTCTCTATACTGCCTTGTCTTTTGACTATGCCTGTATACTGTCTGTCTGTTGACTAAGTTTCTATACTGTCTGTCTGTTGAACATGTCTGTATACTGTCTTGTCTGTTGAACATGTCTGTAAACTGTCTGTCTGTTGACTATGTCTCTATACTGTCTGTCCATTGACTATGTCTGTATACTGTCTTGTCTGTTGACTATATCTGTATACTGTCTGTCTGTTGACTATGTTTGTATACTGTCTTGTCTGATGACTATGTCTGTATACTGTCTTGTCTACTATCTGTCTGTTGACTACGCCTTTATGCTGTCTGTCTGTTGACTATGTCTCTATACTGTCATGTCTGTTGACTACGCCTTTATGCTGTCTGTCTGTTGACTATGTCTGTATACTGTCATGTCTGTTGACTACGCCTTTATGCTGTCTGTCTGTTGACTATGTCTGTATACTGTCATGTCTGTTGACTATGTCTGTATACTGTCTGTCTGTTGACTATGTCTGTATACTGTCTTGTTTGTTGACTATGTCTGTATACTGTCTGTCTGTTGACTATGTCTCTATACTGTCTGTACATTGACTATGTCTCTATACTATCTGTCTGTTGACTATGTCTCTATACTATCTGTCTGTTGACTACGCCTTTATGCTGTCTGTCTGTTGACTATGTCTCTATACTGTCATGTCTGTTGACTATGTCTCTTTACTGTCGGTCTGTTGACTATGTCTCTATAATGTCTTGTCTGTTAACCATGTCTCTATACTGTCTTGTCCGTTCACTTACTCCGACAGTTTATATTCCCGGGCCTCCAGTGAATCAGCTAACAAAGACTCAATATCCTCTACCTGGTCCCAGTTGATCCTTATTTGCCAGGCAATATATTTTATCAAAGTTCTCATCCGGGCATCATAATGACCTACAAATAAACAATTTATCACTCTTTACTTATCCTGAAACAGATACTACAACATACCAACACAAATGCCTATTTGTTATAGAGCATATCCCATATATTTTTTTTTTCAAACTGCCATCAGGGATGTGATTGTTCCCAAATCTTCTACAACATTGTGTACCAGAGAGATGACGTGACTGTAATAAGCATATTCAATCAAACATTACTTTGAGATAAAGATGGACATTTACAACAGATTCAATATTTTTCAGTAATATCCTACTTATCTATTTCCTGGATTCAGAAAGCATTTCGATAGCTAAATCACTAATATTATAAAAGCTTTGCATTGGTGTCCATAAACATAACTGATAATTTGTGCATGTTACTCAAGACAACAAACACATTAATTATTACTTTCAACAATATCAATTTCATTATGTCAGACTGAAATAAGTTGCTGTTTAACAATTGCACAAATTATGATGATTACAAATTTAAATTGTTATTAGAAGTTTTTTTTTTCAATGTTGAAATAATAAACCTGGAAAAATATAAATGCGATTAAAAATTAATTTATATCATTGATGTTATGAGCAGTTTTAAGAATGAAAACTGTTTAGCTGTGAGGAGGCACATGTTATCATTAGGAGTATAACAACAGGCTGATATACCGCAATATATGAAAAAATTGTACCATATCACAGTACAAAAACTATATAGCTGTGAAAATGATTTAGAACATTTTAAGCATTTTATTCTATTTCTTTTCAATTAAACCTTCATTTAAATGACTTTCTTTATTCCCTTCTGCTGTTTTTATTGTGTTCAGGGCTCATTAAATGTTGCTTTATGTATTTCTGAACTGAAGAAATAATCCACAATTTTTATCTTTTCACATTGTGATAGAGAATTTCTCAACTCAAAACAGAGACACACAAATTATATAGAAAATTATGAAAGGTGAAATATTGTGATGTGTATCGATCGTGATACAGTTCCAGTGTATCATGATATACCACGATTTGCCTTAGCCGTATTGTTACACTTATAATTAACACCTACAAATGAACAGTTTAATGCATGTTTTCTTAACGGTTAAAAACAAAAAGCTTAACTTGGATTGGATGTCCTTTCAAACATTACCATTAACTTTTGTAAGAAATGTTACATTTTGTTGTAAAAATTGACAGCCTGGGTGTGGAAATCAAGTTTGGATTGTGAATCAAAACTTTACACCAAAATTTGGTTTACAGTGGTGGAAGGAAAGACAATTGTGGTTGTTTAATTGCCAAAGCCAATTTAAAATCAGAACCTAGGTCTGTGCAAAGACATAAATCTTGTCCCAGTGAACAAGTGGAATTTCAAATTCAAATCTCATTCAAAATTTTATCCATCATAGCACACAGTGAACATATTTTGCATTAAGAATATTATGCATTAAATTTATAATTGAAAGAGCAAATTAAAACTTGAAAAGTAATTCTTATATACTTTCATAACAAAATGTGAATCAAATAATTAAATAATGAAGACTTACAATTTGTGCCACTGTCCTCTTAAGTGGAAAGATTACAGTGAAAAATTACATTAAGTAACATAAATTATACCTTGCATAGTCTTGGTAAGAAGTTACTGATATTCTCTTTAAGATGAATTCAACGATGTGCTAATTCATGATACCGCTAATAAATCATTTATAAATACAATATATGGCGCGATTGTGTGTAGCCCTAATTCATGAATACGCCAACAACTCAATACCCAGTGATTGCACAAAATTTTGAATACGCTAATTTATGTACACGTACAGTATTAACATACATGTAGTTCTGAATGCTTGGAAGCAAAATTCAAGTCCCAGAGACTTCTTTATAACCAAGTTGAACTATACTATTGTTTAAACATTGGGATTATGATCTTTATGAGAAAAGCAGAGGAATGAAACAGATTTTTATGTACTTAAGTTTAATACATTGATCATGATTCTAACCATTACAGACAGCTAGTGTTACTAGATCAGTGATGACAGGAAGTCCATTCTTCTGTAGACATTCTTCCTCCAGGAGGGAATCAGCGAAAGCTCGTGGGTCATCACAGCAATTATCCTCCATCATCACCATGATCGACTCCGATGCCTGCTTAGACAGACATAGATGCTTCATGATCTGCTCTAGTGTCTTCTTCTTAAAAGAACTGAAAATTTAAATTGCTATTATAATCATCAAAGCTTAGACACAAAATTCTAGATCTTTTATTAGATTCAATAATTCAGATATTTTGGGTACTTCACTTTGAAACAATTAAAAGAAAATCAAGTGAATTAAAGCATATTTTATTTATTACTGTACATTTGTTTTCAAAGAGCTAAGCTCACTTTATGCATAAAATGGCCCTGCCCTTATACCAATTACTGGTACCAGGTAATTGAATATCACCTTATCATGCTTATTTCCCATTTCAAACATCAGTATAAAGTAGAGACTTAGCTCTTTTATTTTCTATATCAAAAATTCCTTTCAGAGTTCAGGAATTGGAAAACAGGCTTTATAAAACAGCAGTCGTATTGAATTTAATTTGCAGAAAACAGATGTATTTGAGCATCTTCAGCAAAGAATTAAAATATGAGCACATGCATCCCTTGATCCAAAAAATAAAAAGATATTTCATAATCTTCTGAAACAGTTCTATCATTATATAATTTGCATACTTTGGATCAGGGGTTGTGCTTTATACAAAATATTGAAAATTCCCTTAAACTTTTGGCCATTTTTGAAGAAATTTTCAGGGTATGAGAATAATAACGCAATTTATGACATCAAAATGTATCGACTAGCAAGAAAATTAAATCATTTTTAATAGATTGATGTGCAGTCTCCAAGAGTCCAAGTCATATTTAATGCAATGTCAACTAAAACTATATGAGTAGTTTTCAAATTAACAGAGCAAAAAAAAGGGGGGTCCTAAGTGAACCTTGCTCTTTGAAAAACTTCAGACAGTTTAATTTAGGAATGACTCTAATTATTGGCCAAATTATTGGAGTATAACCTGGTTTGGGTCGGTTTACACTTTATAATCCATGAAGCAGATTATAAAACAGCGTAAACTGACCCAAACCAGGTTATACTCCAATAATTTGGCCAAGAATTAGAGTCATTCCTTATAATTTAATTTTAAAATCATTAAATAACTATGGGTGTAAAATTTCGTTGCTTTATATTAGTTCAAATTTGCCGCTCAATAATACAACCATAGTTACGGAAGTAACGGAAGTGATGGGAAGCGAGGGGAGGTAAAAACTGATACATAGGCCTAGAAGCCTTGTTGTTTGTTTACATGTGGTAAGATCGAATTATTGTTTGAAGTTAAAGGTACATTTATTAAATCTGGAATTTTCCATAAATCCCGAGGACTGGAAATGAGAGGATTGTATGGATACAAATGATTCAGCTGGTTGTCAGGGGGGGGGGGGGGGGGGGGGGGTCCCCATACCAAACCAGGTTATACAGAAATAATTTGTGTTCCTTTTGGGATATTAACCAATCAGAGGCTAGAATACAAACAAAATTAATTTATTTGCATATAGTCAGAGACTTTGGAAATTTCAAGTACATTTAGGTTAATAGCTTGCAGACTAACAATACATACATTATGTAAGAAGCATGTGTATACAAACATCCATCTTCCTTAGTCAAGGCTTCTGATCCACTCCACATAAATATTAGAGCAGAGCGGATCGGAAATTCTTGACTTGGGACGATGACAATCATGATGCAAGTCTTGGAATTAAATACATATATCATTAATTCAATTGCTGAATTGAACATGTTTTATTGACAAGAAGTCAACAGGATTAGATACAAATTCAGTAACTTTAGGCAGTCTTCTAATACAGTTTGTAAAGCTGCCATATTAAATATATGTACATTTACATGATCTAGTTCTACAAATACATCAGTAGTGTCAAAAACTGAAATTCAATGAAACAAGAGGCCCATGGGCCACATCGCTCACCTGAGCACATTGGCTAGGCAAAAGCACAAATCAGTTCAGTATTGAAAAGATTACCTGGGGGGGGGGGGGGGGGAGGGAGGGGGGCTTGAATTTTAAACTACCTGATGATGCTTCCATGTCAATATAACAAATGGCTTTGTTGTACTTGAGAAGATTTTAAAAAAATTTTCCCATATATTCCTTTGTAAAAATTTTATCCCCCATTGTGGTTCCTCCCTATCCCATGGGTCATCATTTGAACTTGAATCTACACTACCTGAGGATGCTTCCATATCAATATGACTAAACATAGCTTTCCTGTTCTTGAGAAGAAATATTTTTTCTATATGTTCTTATGTAAAACTTTCGATCCCCCAATGGGCCCCACCCAACCCCTGGGGGTCATGGTTTGAACAAAATTTTATCTACACTACCTGAGGATGCTTCCATATCAAAATGACTAATCATGGTTTGCAGTTCTTCAGAAGAAGATATTTTCCTATATATTTATATTTAAGACTTTGATCCTCCATTGTGGCCCCATCCTACCCACGGGGGTCATGATTTGAACAAAATAGATTCTACACTACCTGAGGATGCTTCCACATAAATATGATCAATCAGGGCTTTGCTGTTCCTGAGAAGAAGATTTTTAAAATTTTTCCTATACATTTCTATGTAAAACTTTGATCCTCCATTGTGGCCCCATCCTACCCCCGGGGGTCATGATCTGAATAAATCTGAATCTACCCTACCTGAGGATGCTTCCATATAAATATGAACAATCTGGGCTTTGCTGTTCCTGAGAAGAGGATTTTTCCTATATATTTCTATGTAAAACTTTGATTCTCCATTGTGGTCCCACCCTACCCCCAGGGGTCATGATTTGAACAAACTTGAATCTACACTACCTGAGGATGCTTCCATATAAATATGACTCATCATGACTTTGCTGTTCTTGAGAAGAAGATTTTTAAAGATTTTTCCTATATATTTCTATGTAAAACTTTGATCCTCCATTGTGGCCCCATCCTACCCCTGGGGGTCATGATTTGAACAAAATAGAATCTACACTACCTGAGGATGCATCCATATCAATATGACTCATCGTGACTTTGTTGTTCCTGAGAAGAAGATTTTTAAAGATTTTTCCTATATATTTCTATGTAAAACTTTGATCCTCCATTGTGGCCACGCCCTACCCCCAGGGGTCATGGTTTAAACAAAATAGAATCTACACTACCTGAGGATGCGTCCATATCAATATGACTCATCGTGACTTTGTTGTTCCTGAGAAGAAGATTTTTAAAGATTTTTCCTATATATTTCTATGTAAAACTTTGATCCTCCATTGTGGCCACGCCCTACCCCCAGGGGTCATGGTTTAAACAAAATAGAATCTACACTACCTGAGGATGCTTCCATATAAATATGACTCATCGTGGCTTTGCTGTTCTTGAGAAGAAGATTTTTAAAGATTTTTCCTATACATTTCTATGTAAAACTTTGATCCTCCATTGTGGACATGCCCTACCCCCAGGGTCATGATTTGAACAAACTTGAATCTACACTATCTAAGGATGCTTCCATATAAATATGACTCATCATGACTTTGTTGTTCCTGAGAAGAAGATTTTTAAAGATTTTTCCTATATATTTCTATGTTAAACTTTGATCCTCCATTGTGGCCCCGCCCTACCCCCGGGGGTCATGATTTGAACAAATTTGAATGTACACTACCTGAAGATGCTTCCACATGAGTTTCATCTTTCCTGGCCCTATGGTTTTTGAGAAGAAGATTTTTAAATGATGCATTTATTTTTTCACTAATTCTTAATTATCTCCCCTTGAAAGAGGGCGTGGCCCTTCATTTGAACAAACTTGAATCCCCTTCACCCAAGGATACTTTGTGGCAAGTTTGGTTAAAATTGGCCCAGTGGTTCTTGAGAAAAAGATGAAAATGTGAAAAGTTTACAACAACAACGACAACGACAACAACGACGACAAAGACGACAGACAACGGACAAATTTTGATCAGAAAAGCTCACTTCAGCCTATGGCTCAGGTGAGCTAAAAAAAACTGTTCATGTCACAAGTTTTTGGACAATACATACAAGTAATGCCTCTTAACTCACCTGTCCTGCTCATCAAACAGCTGACTTAGGGATACTGCACACAAGGCAGAATAGGAGTAGGACCCCACATCTGTAAGACTGGCCACCAGACTCTTGGTAGCCATCATATGATTTTTTCGTTGATTACTGCTCTGAAATTACAATCCTATTATATTTTTCACTTTATCTACATAGCATAATGAGCATGTGATAATGTTTAGGGCCCCTTAGACAATAAATCCTCTGGGAACTTCAATATAACTACATGTAAATTTGTACAGAAATATAAAGACTTTTGCCTTTGTTCTTGAGTAACAAATAAATCTTAATTATCATGTTACATTTACAGAAAGACACAATGACTGATTAAAATCAAGTTAGGGGAGGAATCTACGACACACTATTTTGTACTATTTTGGAATAAATCGCAGCTAGCAGATTACATTTTGTTTGAAGTTACTGGTAAGACCATTGCCTAAATAGAATTTACATGATTAAGGCACCTTGCGTATCAGGTTGAAAGGTGTCCTTCTGGTATATAAATTGCATGCAATTTTTTTTTATATATAAAACTGTTTGACTTGTTCATGCCCATGGACTGCAAATGGAGTTTGACATTTATGCATAAGCAAAATCATCCACCCAGGGTTTTTTCTTAAACTTAAACTGTTAAAGGGGAGGGGGTGGAGGTTGCATAGCACATAAATAATTAATTAAATCAATCTGTCTTTGTAGTCTAATCCCTAGCCACAAATATGGATCTACAGGACATTATCACTTTAAGGATATAACATTCTAGAGAGAGAGAGAGAGAGAGAGAGAGAGAGAGAGTCACAGGACCCTGTCCTAAACTAGTCTATAAATATGACATCTGTTTTATGTATTCCTTGCTTTTGATATTTGAGATCAATGAATTATATATCAATTATACAAGTTTCCAGTGCTATTAACAAATAATACCAATTTATTACTTAATGATAGGCTACAATATGAGAATAACTGTTAAAAACCTGCGCAATTTCATCAATTTTTGCTGATCTTCTGTGTACCTGTCAATTGCATAGCGAGCCCGATGTTAAAAAAACCCCACAAACATACACACGCACATCTTTTTGCTCGCTTTGAGTCTTTCCCCGGAGATTCCAGTCTGGTTAAAACTACCCCATTTGTCTTACACTCAGTGATGAGTGTAATGAGATGGAGTGGTTTTAATCAGACTGAACAACTATGACACCTTCTTTCAAAAAATCGGGATCGATATATCCAAAACAAATTTTATTTCACAACAATTGAGCAAATTGACTTTAATTGTCGTACATTTAACAAAAGGATTGGGGTTATAAAAATGTAAAGGATATTTCACTGAAGAAGGTGGTCTGTCTAGTTAGGTGAGTTAACTAGTCTATTCCTTAAACCTTTCTGTCTCTTTCGTGATGTTGAGCTTAGTAATAAAGTTAGTTTACCATAATCGCCTGCCGATAGTTGTTTCGCTTGGATAGCTATGAATGGATCTTTTTTGCTTCTTATATATTGATATGCATGAGAAGAAAAGTTAATGACCAAACGACCCGGTTAGGAGTAGATAAGCTTCTAGTTGGCAGAACGGTACGAACTTGCGAACACTGTCAATGATTCACTGCAAAAGTAGATTACTACTGATTATACATGCACTTGGTGCTACCTTATTCAGTTATTGACAGATCATTTGTGGGATTATAACAGAAATATAAGTCTGTCATTTGTTTAATTAATATATTAATTATTCAGGCAAGCTGACAACAATTTTACATTGATGTCTGCTCGGAGAATTCAAAAACTTCGCAACTGTGATCCTAAAATGACGAGGATACAGCATAATAGATCTGATGCTGTGACAAGAAAGCGTGAGGAGAGGGCTGTTAGAGAACAATACAAGCGAGAGAGGAAGATAGAGTCTTACCTAGCTGATGATGAAAACTTTCCCAGCTTCTCAGCACAGCTTGGAAAACTTGGTCTTCAGCTTAGAGACATACCAGGAGATGGGTAGGTTTGGTTTATTTTGTGAATCATCTGTCAGTGTTATGTGAAGATGTTTTATATAAAAGTATTTTCACAATGTAAGTAATATAGATCTAATAGGTGTTACTGTCTTCACTAAACTCTACTTTAAAGCACATTTTAACTCTCAGATCTGATTGTCCAGTGAACGTAGAGAATTTACCAATTTTTTATCCCCTTTTCCTCCAACAGTTATATGTTGAGTTTTCATTATTGTTGATTTACTGCTTTGGGAGGCAGTGAAGCAATTAACTTATTACATATTATTTGTGTGGTACAAACATCATGGCAGAGTATACTGTAGATCTATTCAATATTGATAAAAAAAATTGTTCCCATTTCTTGTTATATATTTGGCTGGAAGGTAAACTCGAGCTCTCTTTAATTTTCTATATCTCCATACTTGAATATTTACCATAATTATAAATACAGTTTAGGTTGTAGTGAATACTAGGTATATAACTTTTTATTGGACATGTAGTATGCAGAACTGTGGGAAATACATCAGGGTTACCTGTCTCAGGTGGGATAGTTAGACCTGGCATTCACCTGTAACAGCTGATCAATGAAATACCTGTAAAACAGGTTTTTAAAGAGACTGTTCAAGTGAAAAGAAACTGGCTTAAGAATACACAGAATTCTGATTCATAAATTCTAGTCCAAGGCATATATTTAATCTTAGAGGGAAAATCACCTTAAACTTTGATCAGTGTCTGTCTTTCCCTAATTCTGGACAAGACATTGCATAATTTTTAAAATGCTCGTTTTGTTTATTTGCTGTAGATGAGTAAATCCCATTGAAATCCAAACAATTGAAGGAATGTGTCCTAAATTTCTCAAAGCTGTTGAACTTAGATTTAAACCAGACAAAGTTATACAACAATTAGAAGAGGCATATACTTTTAAATATTCACATGACTGTGGGAAATACTTGCTGTTCTTTAACAACACATGTACATGTATATATATATCGTGTGTTTTTGATATCTCTACACCTGACACATTTCTCTGCTTTTTCATCAATATCAGTTGCTGTTTGTCAATAGAAGTAATGGTGTTTAAAACACTTAACAGTAATAGCCATGCTTGTAAATAACAACATGTAAGGTAATGTACCTGGTAGATACACAGACTATAACAGAGGTCAGTGTATGTCTGTATGATGATATGCAGGATAGTTTTAATCATAACCAGCTTAGGAACACATTTCAATCCTCCCCAACAGAATTACCTGGTAAAGCATTAGGTATTTTTGATGAAATGTAAATGAGTTATTGTTATAAATGAGATTTTGATGCAAATCAGGTGCTGAGGTGCACCAACAGACAGCAGTCTTTATCATTTTTCCTTTGTTGAGGGGGGTTGGTAACTATTGTCTGCAATTTCACCTTCATCAGATGACATACATACATTTTATTATAAATAATCTGAAATTAATAGGGAAAATTGCTTTAAATTTTAGAAGACATTAGAAGATATAATATTAAATAAATGTATAAAGTAATTTTACTCTAAAAATTTTGTATGACTATAAACATGATAAATAATGAATACATGATATATGTGTATTATACATACATAGTCACATGAGTGATTCATGTATTAAATATGATTTGGTATCCTTAAATTTCATTGTTAATCTGTATCCATTTAAATAATGTTACACAGAGACTAAAGTAAAGGCCATGGTCTCCTGTGACAATGTGACATTTACAGCCATTCATGATTGAGTCTTTGTTGACATACCTGTACATTAATATCCTTAAGAACTTTGTTCAATTTTGAGAAGTAAGAAGAAATGTCAACAAAGATTTTCTGAATAAGAAAATTACATAGAGCAAACATCTCAATATCTACAGTAATCTAGGCAAAGTATATGCCTCTATAGAAATTGTAAAAGGGTCAATCTTTCATTGCTTTGTTGATTTTTCATTGGAAATAGAAAAAAAAAAGAAAACAAAGGATACTTTCAAATATGAAAAAAACTAAGGTGGAATTTAATTAAAACATAAAATTCACAAGTATAAATTCATTTTACCAGGGGTGATGTCCCAGATTTATATAGCTAGTATTATTGTAGCAGTGAATATGTGGCTAATATAGACTTATACACTGACAATTAATAATGAATTCAACAATTTTGTATTGCTTATTGCCATATATATTTCACATATTTAGTCCTTTATGCAGTGGATTAATAGCTCATAGGATTTTTCAACTCATTGTGTGTTTTTATCCCCTCACCAAGGCTTGGGGATAAAAAAACACAACTTGTTGGATAAAAAATCATGTCCAACCACAAACCATGGGAGATTCTATATGCATCTATATTGGTACAAATAAGCTGGGAAGGGGGGGGGGGTGTTTACATAATTGTGATGTAACATGGATTAAAAAAGGTAAATCCAGAGTATAAAACAATGAACACCTGTGATGCCTTTTCTTAATGAAGCTCATTGTTCTTTGTAAAAACTTCGTTTTAGTAAATGTACTTATAGTCAATATAGAGAAAGAAAGGCTCATAAGTATTACAAACTTTTATGTCAACATGTTTTTATCAGAGGATGACAGTACAATGGGCATAATCATGTATTAAGTGTTAAATGCTTAGTTAATACTTTACAAATCTACTTTATGGGGTTGTACCTATAGGTACTAATTATAAGCACATTACACACACAGTGAAATTCAGCCTGTCACAGATTGTCATAATATATACTCTTAGAGAGTCATTTAGAATTATTTTTCATTCTTTTATTTTTTCATTCATTGCATCCTAATGGGTAAAGAGGATTCAAGTTTGTTCAGATACATGTAAATGATAAAATATGTAAATACAAATTTATGAAGGCTACACCGAGTCAATTAAAATACATGAACTACTGCTATACATTGTATTCAAGTGGATTTAACAGCATATTAATTAACACTGTTCAAAGCTAGGGCTGGGCTACAGCAGGAGTCAAAATTAAATGAATTTTACACATTATGAAAAATCTTAAAATATTTAAAATTTTCTGTGGAATATGTACAGCTAGACTAAAGAAAATCTCTTGAAATTAAATTTCAAACATTAATCATGATTAATTATCTTGCAGTTTGATATGGTTTGTCCTTAAAATCATGGAAACATTTTAAAATTGTCGAAATTAATTTAAAAGCATCAAAATACATTCTTTCAAAAAAGAAATTTGAATATATTTTGTTTTAATTTGGGGCTCCATGAAAAGGTTTATTGAATATTTTGTTTTCCGAGATATAGAAATGTGACCTAGGCAAGAGTTGTAAATGTGTCTCAGTAAGGGTTGTGGCACTTTGATCTTTTTCAGATAAATTAATGAATAGGCAATTCATGCTTTCAAGATGTTCATAATAATAGAAATATAGAGGTTATCTTCTCATGATTATCACAAGCCTTTGGATCGCTTAAATCCAACTTGAATAAAAATTGGGGTTTATTTTTTTTAACACCATAATTTTTTAAAGCGATCTAAGGGCCTGTGATGATATTATAAAGATAGATGACAATTTTGTCACACTTAATTTATTTTTTCCTTGTGACTAATTAGATTTTTTCTTTTTAGGAATTGTCTGTTTCGTGCCCTCGGAGACCAGATGGAGGGACATGGTCGTAATCACTTTAAGTATAGGTTTGATGTGGTGACATACATGTCTGATAATCGAGCAGACTTTGAACCATTTGTGGAAGATGATGTACCTTTTGATAAACACTGTAAGAACTCAGTAATATCTGTGATTGATACAAATTTTATGTATATTTTTATGCATAATCATGAAGAGACTTGTATCCTTTTTTAAAATGGCAAGAAAAATAATGCATGTACTTTGAATATTTGTTACAGTATCTAATCTATGTAAACTTGGAACCTATGCAGGGAATGATGCTATTGTGGCATTTGCTCGACTCCACTATGTCAACGTTGTTATTCATCAGCTGAATGCCCCATTCCTATTGGTAAGTTATGAATAACTAATAAACTTAATGTCGCATTCCTATTGGTAAATTAGGAATAACTAATCAACTTAATGTCCCATTCCTATTGGTAAGTTATGAATAACTAATCAACCTAATGTCCCAGTCCATTTTTTTCCCCAATACATTATATGGTCCCTAAAATTAAATATATTAAAAAAATTCTGTCACATATATTTCAAAATTCATGTTTATTCCATGCAAAAATGACAATAAAGTATAAGTGAATGCAAGAGTAAGTAAATCAAGTCGTCCCTCAGTGCTACAAACAAAACTGCTCCTAGGCATGAAGAAAAATATGATTATAAATATTATCTTCACTTGTAGATTCAGGGTAACCAGAGCAGCACAGGCCAAATCAAACAGATTCACATTGCCTACCACAATGGAGACCATTACTCTAGTGTCAGGAGAGTTCATGACAACACTGAGTCCCCTGCCAGTATCAAGATCAAGGTAACATATCGAAGTCAAGGTCATCTGTGAAAAAAAGTCCCCTGCCAGTACATTATCAAGATCAAGGTAATGCATTAAAGTCAAGGTCATTCATTACAATACTGAGTCTTTTGCTAGTATCAAGGTAATGCATCAAAGTCAAGGTCATCCATAACAACACTGAGTCTTCTGCTAGTATCAAGATCAAGGTAATCAGTCTGTGAAATTTTACCCTAGCCCTTGTACCAAAGATAAGGTCATGATGACAATCTCGGTCCTGTGCCAGTCTCAAGGTCAAGATAATCAGTTAATGACATTTGACCAAGTCCACTATATCAAGGTCAAGGTCAGCCATGACAATACTGAATCCCCTGCCAATGTCACTGAAACCAGGCAGAATCACAGTGTCAAAATACATGTAATCAAATGAATAAAAATAACAAGTTTTCCACCAAAAGTTTTTCTTCACTTTCAGTCAGGTAGATGCTGTTGACTTGGATGTGGTCAGATTAATCATGGTTCATTCATATATTTTACTTTTGTGTAACAGATAGGGGAGGAGTCTGAGAGTAAGAGTAAAGTAATGAATGGTCATGTGACAGGAGGTGTGGTCTCAGCTGTCCGTGATGAACAGAGCATTGAGGAGGAGGTCATGCTGGCCACCAGCTGTATGGTATGTGTTACAAAAACATGCCCACAAGTTATCTTAGTATATAAATTGGTGTCCTCTGAAGCATTGAATATCATTTTGTTGATGTTGCTGTCAGTAACTTAGGTTAAAGTTTTGGATCAGTTCCATTTCCAAATAATTGTGAATCCCAGGAAGTTAAGCTAATATGAATCATAATGCATCTAATGATGTATACTTTTACATAATATTAGGTTTGTTACTGTCTATGGAACAATCTCAGAGATGATGAGATGAAGCCGAGTGATCTTTGAGATTGATCAGTTGATATTTCTGTAGACAGTCAGTAACAAACCTAATCAACAATTTAATTTCTTGAGGATTGGAATATGAGAAATATTTTCATAATAGGATATAAATTCTCACTTGCCTGGCACACATATATAGCCAAAAATCACGTGTGAGGTTTAATGAAAGTGCAACATTCTAGTCTGAGAGATTAAAAGTAACTATAAGCCCTACCTTAATAAAAATTGCAAGTATGTTGCATTTAGTGATGCAAGCTGCATCTTTCTTCAGTTACTTTATATTTTTTTACCTAATGATATGTATGTAAAACACTGATATGATGAAATTTTTCATTGCTTCTTAATAAAAAATTATTTGACTTGAGATGTTGCCTTTCCTGATGATAACATATGTTGAAGTGAACCAAATCAATTTTGATTATTAGGGCCCCGCTCTGCGGGCACCCTATAGTGATCAGTCTGTCCGTCCATCCGTCCAACTGTCCGTCTGTCCGTCCGAGATCTCTTGTTCGGAGCATATCTTCTCTCTCCTTGGCCCAATCGGGCTCATACTTCACCCACAGAGTGTCTTTGGATAAAGGGTGTGCAGTGATTTTGAACCATGTTTCTAGGTCTAAGGTTAAGGTCATAGCAGAATTATATGAAAAATCCTTGTCCAGAGCATATCTTCTCTCCTCTTGGTCCAATGTGGCTCATACTTCACTCACAGAGTGCCACTGGTCAATGGATGTGCAGTGACATTGAAGGGTTTCTAGGTCAAGGGTCAAGGTCAAAAATAGCCTCTCTGTTTAAATTCTTGTTCTGAGCATATTTTCTCTCTCCTTGGCCCAATCTGGCTCATACTTCACCCACAGAGTGTCTTTGGGTAAAGGGTGTGCAGTGACCTTGAACCATGTTTTTAGGTCTAAGGTTAAGGTCATAGCAGAATTATATGAAAAATCCTTGTCTGGAGCATATCTTCTCTCCCCTAGGTCCAATGTGGCTCATACTTCAATCACAGAGTGCCACTGGTCAATGGATGTGCAGTGACCTTGAACAAAGTTTCTAGGTCAAGGATCAAGGTCAAAAATAGCCTTTCTGTTTAAAATCTTTGTTTGGTGCATAATTTTTTTCTCTTAAGTCCAGTCAGCCTCAACTTTACCAATTGACTTAGGTTACTTAACATTTGTAATATTCCTTCCATATTTTGATAGAGGATATGCAACAATTTTCATAGAGGATATTTTTGTGCTTTTGTTTGATAGAGGGTATGGAGCACTCGTGATTTTCGTGCCATTTTTTATTATAACAAGGATGACATAGAATCCCTTTAGACTCAAACAGCACATCCCTTAATAGTACACAAATGTTCCTCTTCAAAATAAACCCTTTTCAGCTACCCTTACATTTTCATGTTCGTTGCTGAAAGCGGGGCCCTTTGAGATGGCCACCATCTCAATGATATCTAGTCTACATATATTTTCTTTGAGTTATATTTATAATTTAAGAATTCTGTTCATGTACATGTACTTATTTTAGTGTGATCAAAATTTTGCGTTAATGTAGTTCTTGCACTGATTTGAACCATCATAAAATCCTTATTTGGTTATGATACGCTATAGTAGTATGAGTCCATTCTAGACAAGGGTTCCAGAATCAACATTATGACACATTCTTTAGTAGATACGAGTGGTTTAATGACTGATGTACACATTTTAGGACATAGAGCAAATTCGTGAAGTTCTAGTGGACTGTGGGTATGATGTTGAACTTGCTATTGCCACATTATTGCAGATCATGGAAGTCAGCGAGAATGGTAGGTCTAGAAAAATTCAAAAAATAAATTTTCACATTTAATCTGTAGTTTTTTTGAACGAATAAACTTTTAGGGAATAAATATTCTAAAGAATTTAAGATGTGATTTGAGAAACAGACTGGGCATTCAAGATATAAATGAATCAAAGGGACAGAAATGCATAAGTTTTTTCCATATTACATGTAGTAAGGTAACACTTCAGAATTGCAGAGTACAGTACATTTCATTTTTTTTCCAGGTCATGAGGAAACTGCCTCTCTAGCTTCTCAGATGACCTCCACAGACAGTGGGGTGTGGTCTGAAGCCTCACGGTCCTCTGGGGATTACGCCTCCCCCCAAACTGGGGCCACCCATGTACGAGAAAATAGTTATGGTGGAAGCTCAGGTTATGGATCACTTAGCAGCTTTCCAGGTGGAGCTAGGCCTAAACAAACTCAGGTATACTGTTAACTCTAAGTTAGCTAGACATAACAGACACAGGTAGAGAGGTTAACTAGACCTAAACAGACTCAGGTATACTGTTAACTCTAGATTTGCTAGACCTAAACAGACTTAGGTATACTGTTAACTCTAAGTAAGCTAGACATAACAGACACAGGTAGAGAGGTTAGTTAGACCTAAACAGACTCAGGTATGCAGTTAACTCTAAGTTAGCTAAACATAACAGACACAATTAGAGAGGTTAGCTAGACCTATACAGACTCAGAAATAGGGTTCACTTCAATTAAGTTAACTAGACCTAAACAGACTCTGATATAGGTAGGGTTCACTTCAGTTATGTTTTTTGCAATGATATAGGGTTCACTCCAATTAAGTTAGCTATACCTAAACAGTTCAACCCAATTCATGTAGCCATGTAGATATAAGTTCTCTTACATTAAGTTAGCTATACCTAAACAGACTCAGGTATTGAAATGGACTGAATTAAGTCAGCTAGACCTAAATAGATTCAAGAGATTAGTTAAACATCAAATTTGTTCAATCCAGTTAGCAAGATATGATAGATCTAGGTCAAGAGTTTATTAATATTAAGCACAGACACTTGATGTTATAATTTTTCCTATCATAAAAAAATTATATTTGCAAATGTTTTCTCTTAAATAAACTATTTAAGCAATGCATATCTATCACTGTATTAATAGGTCCTTAAATCATAAATGTTCGACATAAACATTGACGTTTTAATATGTTGAACATTTATGTTCACATTCGACATGATCCGTTAAACATGTGTCAACAAAGGGTTGATGCATGTTCAACAGATCAAATGCTGTTGAGTTTTGAGAAATAATACATTTCATGAGTTAAAGGTTATAATTAAGCAAATATAATTATAATATGGCCACAAATATATATATATAAGTAATAAAGTATTACTTTTAAACATCTATAAGGATATAGATACAGGTTAGTAAATGATCATGTCTTTGATCACGTGACCAACCCGTACCTATATCCAGATAGATGTTTAAAAGAGATGCCTTATTTCTTAAATAACTCCCTACCTTATTCCTAAACAGCCTCAGGTACTGGCTAATATCATGTAGGGGTTTATATTTTTTTGTGATAAGAAAAATATATAATGTCAAGTGCCAGTGATAAAAGTTAGCAAGTACCAAACATTCTCTGGGAATAATTTACTTTAATTAAGTTAGTTAGACAGAATGAAAAGTTCATTCCAATTTTCTTATGACCTACTTCTTAATTTGAATATGGTTTATTTTACAGATCAAACCTCAATCAGCAAAGGAGAAGAGAGAGAATAAAAAGCTGGAGAAGAAGAAACGAGCCGAGGAGAGACATAAGATGAGGATTCAGGGGAATTCCCCACAAGTTCCCACAATGTATGATGATAACGCGGTTACCGTGGTCTCCAAGGACATTGGCATGATGAAAATCTAAAAATATTCAAAGGAACTAATGTGTCGGGGTTGTGGTATAAAACAAGGCATATTTATTTACCTAGTTATTGGATGCATCATCCCTGCTGTTCCCCATCTCTAGTAAGAAATTAGGAACAGAAAACTGGTGTGTAAATAACTAATTTAAAATAAGTTCCATTTACTTTTTGTGATTTTATGTGGTTAGTTTATGGACTTAAATCATGAAAAGCTGTGCAACTGCTCACTATTAGGCCAAAAAAAATTAATCAATAGTTTCTCAGGCATCGCTGCATCAGGTCAAACACTGCCGCATTGATCAATTTTATTGACATATTCAAAAGGGAAATAACTCAATTTTCCATTTTTCCAAGTTGAAAAAGAAAATTGAGTTATTTCCCTTTTCATAAATGCTAATAGATAGACGTTTTTATTAGATAAACAATACTTTTCTTGTTAATATGGTATTTTATGAATTAACTTTGTTTGGAACAACATTATTTAAAGTTGAATACATTTTATAATTGATGTAAGAGAACAAAAAAAAGTAAAAATAAGTTTATATCATCATTTTGTTGAGCAACTGACATGAAAAAAGGTATAACACCTGCTTCTTAAAAAAAAAAAAAAAAAAAAAAAAAAAAAAGAACCTGCCCGCCGCATTGAATTTTGAAATTTTTGGCCTAATTAATTTTGTATGGCCTTATATTGCACCCTGTCATGATTTACTTTGTGATGGATATCAGTTTTGACCTTCTATGCTTTCAGCATTTCATATTTCTTTTCTGTTATGAAAGGAAGGAAACTTTGCTTCGGACAATCTTTATTCTTTCATGTATCATTACACTTTATTGGATATTTTGAATAATTTCTATCTAATAATTTCAACTGTCTTCAAAACACTTATTTGTACATGTATTTACTGCCTGTCAGTCTTTTCTGTTGTGTTTTGATGTGAAATTTAAGAGTGTAGGGGAAAAAACCTTCTGGATCTGTCTTTAAAGGGATTTGGGTTACTAAACACAAATTTGCAACCAAACCCACTTTATGCCATGATATGACTGATATGTAATTCAGAAAATCAGTGAAAACTCCTCATAAGAATATTTTAATAGGGTGTTAAGATATACCACCCTGTAGAATACTAATCTTTGATTTACATTGTCAGTTACATGTAAAAGTATGTTACCGACAGGAGATTAAATCTAGTTATCGTACAAAATGTATGTGATAATATTACCTATGAACATGTATGCATAGTTGTTGCTTATTGATAGTGTAAAAACACAAAAATGTAATCAGAAAAAGAAAAAATGTTAGTAGTTACCAAATGAAAATTATGTAATAGACACTAGTTCCTGAAATCTTGAGTGTGTCAGATTTTTTCCTTTATTAAACAGTCTTCACAAAATTAGTGTGATTATTACTCCACTTGTCTTTCATTGTTATATATTGTTTAATTTATATATTGTTGTTATATTTCATTTACTTTGTTGTGGATATGTACTGTATGAAATTGCATAAGAATATGATGTAGAGATGGTCTCACAGTTTTCATGTGAAGTTGTAGATAGATGTACATATAGACTTTTGTAACTATTAAAACTGGTATACATATACATGTACAATATAACTTAGAAATGGTACATTTTTTGAAGATTTTTTATCTTCTACTATGTACATGTATTTTATATCCAGTATGAAAATTTTGTACCGGTAGGTTTATTTGAAAAGTGATGTAGAAAATTCAGGGATTAATATTTTTGGTATTGATGTAACTCATTATTGCTAATCACATCTTCATTATAGCCAACTATTCAAAATGTTTCTCTTTTCACAAACCCTTGGCCTATTATACTACTAAAATAAAGGATTTGGGTGGATAAAGTGTGATTGGACCCGATTGATTCCCCTCCACCAATAAGGAGGGTGCAGGAAAGATACAGTCACTGACACCAGTCTGGATGAATTTTGAAAATTTCAAAAACACCTGGCTAGCAAAGATGTGCTAATCAAAGTAAAAGAAAAATGCTCGCAGAAACCCGAGATTTTTTGATACATAGTGAAATGTAGAGAGCTGTAATGAAAAAGTCCCTTGGCTTATATTTCCTGGATCAGATTTGATTAATATTTGTGTGTTACTTGTTATTTTCTCTTTTCCTATTGACTGTGTTATATTCTGGACAAGAGTTTCAGTTATTACAAATATATATATTTTTCTGTAATAAAAATATGCTTTATATCAGGTGTTTATTTTATGAAGAAAAGGTCTAAATTTTGGAATTCTGACTATGGTAATATTTTCCTGAAAATTCCACAAGGCAAATTGTAAATAGTTTAAATTGATTTTTAAGAGCAGTGTATACATGTAGGTACAGAACTGTAGCTCTATGGAGAATACTACTACTAATTTTGGAGGGATATTAATGATGCTTAATTTAAATATTCAAAAATCTTATATCTAGCAAATGAACCATTCCACATTAAATTGAAATTTGATTTTACCATTTTCTTGCCCAATTCAACAAATTGAAGAAATCTGTCAGTATTAAACCTTAATGTGAGTGTTTAATTTGTTATATCTTAATCTCAAACAAATTGCAGAGGCAAGTTAAAAAATGCACTTAAAACGTACAATTGTAACAAAGATAAACAACAGTATTTATATAACAATTTCATCATTCACACTACAGATATGAACAAGAATTTCACTTCACCATTTCTTCTTACAGTTTCATTCTAAATTTATATCAGAAGAGGTTCGTTTGGAGCATTATACGGATGAATTCTGATTGGTCGACTCGACCATCTCCATTTATATCTGCCTCTTCTATCATTTCTTCTAGCTCCTTCTGTGTGAATTTTATACCAGCATCTTCACATGCCATTTTCAAATTGTCTAATGATATTGCCCCCGATTTATCTGAAATAAAAAAAAAAATGCTGTGTGATCTTCATAGTGAGAATAATATAGTTTTTTTCCCTTTGGATTGAGTGAAGTGTTTTAATTTAAAACACTTGTACAGAAATTTCAACTGCGATAGGAAAAAAATAATTGAATGAGAAAGTGAGTTTCAAGTTTATGATTTTTATTATGTTTGATAGTATTACTTCTATATTAACCCGTTTTAAAACCTGTCTATCTTCTGAGGGGCAGATGAAATTTAATCTTTACAAGGTGTCACTTGTATATATTTAAATTAACTTCATAATAATGAACTGACCATAGTCAAACATGCTGAATCCCTTGAGGATTTCATCATACATATCTCGAGAATCTCCTTGTCTATCAATGATCACCTCCAGAAATTCAGTGAACTCAATTTGACTGGAAAAAAAAAAACCGGACGAATGTAAAAATGATTTTCTATCATAAACATGTTCAAGGTAATTTAGAAGGGAATGAAAGGGACTAACCTCCTGCCTTTTAAATTGACATCTACAATCATTTGCTTGGCATCATCTCTGCTACACTTAAACCCTAGGGCTCTCATTGCTCTTCTAAGTTCAGCAGAGTTTATGTACCTGAAATAATTTCATGATATCTTTTACCTATAACCACCAGTAAACATTACAAGATAAAACTGTCTGAACAAAATCAGTTTCTTACCCATCATTATTTGTATCAAACAACTCGAACACAACCAGAAGATCTCTTATCTCTTGAGCTGTAAGGTGTTTAAGGATTCTGTTAGACATTTTGTATCCATGGACTTCCTTTTCATCCACAGGATTTGAGGTCAACAATTTAACAAGCTGAAAATATTGGGGGAAAAGTAAACTTCCCGTTAAATCAATATTTTGCTAACATTGTACAGCACAAGTCTTTATTATTTTATAAGAAAGTGTTTCATGTTTTTGTATAACTACACGTAATACAAATCTTAATCATTGAGTACAGTATAAAATATTGTTCCAGTAAAGGCCAATTTCCATATACAATTTTGTTGAGTCTTTAAGTATGGACATTACCTTTAGAAGATACTTACACTTTCTCCTGGTTTAGGGGGAGGAGGAACAAAAGCAGGTGCGATTGGATCTGACGGGGAGTTATTCTCCTTTAGAGATTTACTGCCGCTCTTCTTACTCTTGCTCTTTTTTGACTTCCCCTTCTTTTTACCCGGCATTATTGTTATCAAATGTAAGACACTAAAAATTGATGTTTGTTTACAACAAGCACCTGTTGTACGCCATTTTGACGCTACCTGTGTTGCCCCCTGACGTAACAATTTTCTTTATCACTGATTGGTTTAACTTTTGAATATAAATTTAAAATCAACCTTATGTATCACGTTTTTCCGGATTATCTTCAAAAAGTTTTTCTCTTTCATTTTAAGCTCACCTGTATAAGGCACCGTTTTTGGTACTTTCTAGGTATTCCATGAAATCAAATAGGGATTTTTTTCAATCAAGAATTCATTTTTTGATATTGAAAAATGAATGAATGAATGAAAAAATAAATAAATAAATAAATAATCACAGAAAATAACTTGAAAGAGAATTTCGTGATATCAATTTTTTTTTCTTATTTTCCGATATCAGAAAACCATTTTTTGAACATCCAATATTCAATTTTCTGATAAAATAAATCATTTTAAGATAACAGAAATTCACCTTTAAAAAAAAAAAAATTAAAAATTCGAATTTCAACCAATAATGCCTTTAAGATTTATGAAAATTATCAATTTATCTCCTGACCTCGCACTTGTTGCATTAAAGAAAATTAACATAATAAATTTTTGCTATTTTCGGGTGTTCATTGTCTAGTATTTACATATATTAGAAATATTAAAAAAAAGACGGTTACCAGTGTCGTAGTTGCCATGGCCTCGAATTTATTTATGTTTATTTAACTTGTATTTTCCCGCTATTTCACGTATATCTTGTATATTGTCTTTGTTTGTATATATTGTATATAGAACCTCATTTGAGTGAATAAATTGAACTTGAATTTTATAAGAGAGATGGACATAGATTTTTTTTAAATACATGTATCTGAATTTAGGCTTTCATAGGAAAAAAAAGAATCTTCTCAGGAACAGCAAAGCCATGATTGTAGTTATATTTATATGGAATCAAAAAGAGACCCTACTGAATGCGGTAAAGGTTAATGAATTTCAGTTTACAACATAATTTTCTTTGTCTTTCGGAAGTATGGATATCCTTATAAAAGTGATCATGAATTTCTTTGTGCTCCTATTTTAATATTTCTTCACTTAAGGCAGTTATGATAGTTTAAGAGTTTTTGTAAAATGTGCTTTATGAATAATTTTTTTTTTTTATTTTTTATTACAATGTATGCATGCGCGGATCTAGAGGAGGTGGGGAGGGGTGGGGTCCGGAACACCCCCCCCCCCCCCCCGAAGGTATTTTTCACGTCGGGGAAAGGCTTTTTTTGTTTGTCAAGATATTTCTGGGAGAAAATTTTTTGCTCGGGTGGACACTCCACCCCACCCCACCCCCCTCCCGGAAAAAAATTCTGGATCCGCGCCTGGCATGTATTCGGGGGGGGGGGGGGTTCCTGTCAACAAGCACCTGTGGCATAGATTGCCAAGTGGTCTAGCGCACTGTTTCTGTTCTGCTAGGAGACAGGTTGCGTAGGTCGAGAGTTCAACCCCGGGTTGGAGCGGAAGTGGGTATCCTTATAAAAACGATCATGAATTTCTCTGTGCTCCCCCTCTCTCTCTTTCTATATATATATATATATATATAAACTTCTGTTTTCCCACTTTGATACCATGACTTTCCATCGACAACGACATGGGGATTCTCTCTTCAAACTAAAGGCTTTAATTTTAAAATAAATTGCGTAAAAGAGTATTTTTGGGTTCGAAGATAATGCAACAAACCAGACCAGTATTCGAACACTGGTCCCCTCAATTTTATGCTATCTATATTCAATTAAAAAAAAACAAACAAAAAACAAAACAAAACAAAAAAAAAAAACAACAAAAAAAAAAACAACAAAAAAAAAAAAAAAAAAAAAAAAAAAAAAAAAAAACCACAAAGAATATAATTAAAATGAATAGAATTCATTTATTTAACAAAAACAGAATTTTAAACAGAAAAAATCTTATCATATCTCATCGCAAATGCAAAAAGAATCTCCCTTAATTTTAAATAAAACTAATATTTGCATGTGAAGATATATCAATTACAATATTTCTTAAAACACAACATAACTGTAAAAATAGATATACGATACACATAGACGGTTTTCCTAATTTTCGCAAGAAATAACATTACAATACATTATCAACATTATCCCCACCATTATCTGCAATTCACAGGAAATTAAATGCGTAAAGAGATTCTCACAAAATTATCACATCGTTTTCGTCTGTTGCCAAGTTACATGTTTTATCATTTTAGTGACGCTGTAATAAAGTTTTCCCTGAAAAAAAATTAAAATAGGTATCAAACTAATAATGTATCAATCTGGACTTAAGATAAGGACGCAATTATTAGATTGTATACACTAGTAGAAGAAATCAATATTTAGAAACCCATCTTTCACTTTTGTGTGTGTGTAAAAGGGGGGGGGGGGTGTCGAGATCTACCACTGTGTGAAAAATTCATTGTACTCTTATGTGATAATTATTAAAAAAAAATAATGACTAACGTAAATAATTGAAAAATTGCAAAGAAAGAAGAAAATGCCAAAATCATTGATTATTTGATCCGCCCTTCTGATTCTCCTCAAACACTTACCGGCGTTTCTCTCCAGGGTACCCTCTGATTCTGGTGTGGAAGCTCGGGAGGAGTCAGATATCTCCGACTGAAATCCCTCCCTACGCAACAACCAATACGTCCTCACGGTGCCTTTGAAAGCATGAAGGAGGTCACGATCATTCTGATTAATATAACGATATTTTTTCTTTAGTATTTGTTCCCCATTTTTCTGAAAACATGCGTCTTTTTTCATGCAATTTTACGATATCATCGGTTTGTCCCCATGTATAAGTTCTAATGCCCCAAGACCGTAAACTGAGAACAGACTTAGGTCAAAATTTAGATTTAGAATATCTTGATTTTAATTTAAAAACCATGGTTGTAAAGGTGCAGTTTGTAAAATATCCAAATACAAACATTCAATTTAAATTGGTTTTATTTCCTTATTATTTAACTGTTCTCAATCTATGGTCTTGCAGGGTTTGGAGGTATCAGTATCTTTTTGGTTAATGAAATTACATTTATCTGAAGCGGGGGGTGGGTGGGGGGATTTAAATACAAATAAAATTCAGTATCAGAGTACCTTAATGTTGTCCTTGCGTTCTTCTATGACAAAACCTCCCAAACCATCTAAGAGTTCGAAGGTCGTCTCACTAATATGGATTCGATTGGCTGAAACATATCATTAATAAAGCACCAAGGACCTTGTAATAAAAAGTTCTGAAAGTTTTACTTCATGATCAACAATCTTTACCTTTTCCAAGTGACTCCATCTTAGAAGCAAGGCTCACCGTCTCACCAAACAGACAATATCTCGGCATCTTTGACCCAACCACTCCAGCTACTACGGGACCTGGAAAACAAATAGCAGCAGTGTTCTAATACTAGTATCTAAAAGTCAGTCTGACAAGAACTAACTAATGAAAGCTCAGACTATTGATGACAATCTAAATTTGGACTGTTTTCAATTTGAATTAAACTTATTTTTAAAAGAGACGCACCAGAGTGACAACCGGTCCTGAGTCTGAACTTGGTCCCAGGAAGATGAGGTATCTCAAGTCGGTTGATGTGTTCCAACAGATCTAGTGCCATGGTTGCGATCTCTGCAGCGTGACGCCGTCCATTCTGACGAGGTACTCCTGAATGGCATAAGAAAGCATACCAAATGCATTTACATGAGTATTGCACAACTATCGATATGTTTTACCACAAAGTATACCGGTATTGTTCAGTAACATCTATCTGCATGATTGATACTTGGAATTTCTACAACGTTCCTTACCCGACACCACCATGTAGGCATCACCAATGGTTTCCACTTTGTACACGTCATACATCTCGATCCGCTGGTCGAAACAAAGATATAAACTGTTCAGCATGTCCACGACCTGCAATGGGGAACTCTGAGAAGAAATCTGAGTGAATCCCACAATGTCGCTAAAGAAAATGGTGGACTCGCTAAATTGTTCCGCGTCAACAACTTCGTTCTGCTTTAGTCGCTCAGCTACAGACTTCGGCAACATTTGGTACAAAAGGGTGTCTGTTCGTTTCTTCTCTTTATTTAGCGCTTTTGTTCTGAAACAAATGAATAAGGATTTAAAGAAATATACTATCTAGTACCAATTCTTTGTTGAAGCGTCAAATAAACCAAAGAATACTAGTAGCCGTACAAACCGATTTGCAATTGAAATGGAATACGTCTGAATCTCTGAGGTCAGAGAATACACCGCGAACACGATCAATGGACATATAATGAGAATTACTCCGAACACGATGCATATAGTAATCACGTTCCTCAGATCGTCATTGGAACTTTCTGATAGAAGCTGGTCTATTTTTGTTGCTAACTGTCTTTGAGTGGCCCTAAGAGCGTTCATATACACTGTCATGTTGTTGAACCACCATTTTGCACGCTCTACAGAACCACGTGACGACGAACTCCTATTCGAGCGAATCTCGTTCCTCATTTTCTGCATAGGTTCAATGATATTAGCGTTCCTCATCAACTGCGCCTCGTACATGTCATAAGCCAGTTCTGAATACAATCTGGACGACTGGAAAGTGATGTTAGCGATATCTTGGCTTTCCACAAACAACAGATATTCGTCTCTTGTATTAAATCGACCAACGGCGTAAAAAGACACACCAAGTCCTCTCTCTCGTCCAAAGAACTCACTAGCCACGATAATTTCTTGATAGGCCACCAAGCTCTTCCACACTGATCCTGACTGAGTTTCAACAATTGCCTCATACAACCACTGGATGAAGACTTCGATGCTGTCGGAGTAGAATTGCAGCTCCTCTTTGATGGTCCTGTTGTAAGAATCCAGCTGATAGCGATGTCTGTTGAGGTAGGAGAGGAACTTTTCTCGGGTTTGAAACTCGTCCCTGACGATATTGGCACTGGTTGGCCAGGAGGACAGGTTCTGAATGGCGATGTCGGTATCGGGGTATCGCTGTAGGAGGAGGTCTTTGGTTTCCAGTTCTATATTACTCACGTACAAAGCGCTCATATCTCGTTCCCTCTGAATGTTACCGAGCAAAATACCCAACTCAATGCTAAAAAGAACAAAGGGAAGGATGGTTAATATTTATTGGTGTCATAGCAATATGTAAAATACAAATATTTTGGTCTCAACAATTTTTCGCCGGGCGTCATTTTTTGTTATCTTTGTGGTTGGCAAAACCGTTCAACGAACTACATGATGGCAAATCTTTACTTATGATAGAATAGAATGATCGGAGTGAGTGTTGAGTGAGAGAATTCATGGAAATCACCACAGGTCGACAATTTGGCCGAAAGAATGTACCTAAAGTAGAGAATTCTCTGCTAATTTTGGAGGATACAATATATAGCTCTCCAGGGATAAAATATAGAATACCTAAAGTAGAGAATTCTGCTGATCTTGGAGGATACAATATAGTTCTCCAGGGATAAAATATAGAATACCTAAAGTAGAGAATTCTGCTGATTTTGGAGGATACAATATAGCTCTCCAGGGATACAATGAAGGTGTTGGCTGTCATCCCCGTGAGCACAATAACCGGAATCAGTACCACCGCCAACATCTTTACCATCTGCTGCCGCTTACCGGCGTCCGTGATCGGGTTACCTGGTGAAAGATTTAGTAAATTACTCCAGTATCAATATTCACTTAAATAATTATTATTGTATGTATTTATTTTAAAAATAAAGGTCTTAGTTAAAAATCGAAAATCATTTTAATTTATTTTTATCTGGATCTTTTAAAATCGAAGTCCAGTATACAAAATAATCATTAATGGAGTATGCAAACAAGAATTTTAACATTTTTCCTTTCTGTACAGAAATAAATGAAAAAGTTGTTCGCACTTTATTCTACAGATTATGCTACAAAGATGCAGTTGTTAATATTTTCCGGTCCTACCTCGACAAACCTCCTCGCACCTGTTCCAATTCTGTCCAAGGTTTAACATATCCATAATGGCCAGATTCAACTGTGATTGAGTCAGGGACTCCATGGAGCTGGCCAATGAGGGTTCCTTCTTCCCATCCCCGGGGCGGACCCGACCCCCGCGCTTCAGCCACGTCATCTTAGAGCTTACCTCAGCCATTTATCTGGTAAAGAAATATCGGGGATGGTTTATTTTAGCTCTTACAATTCTTTTGCGCAGAGAAATTTGTCTCCTTATACTTTACAACTTCTCATTTTGCTGTAAATGAGATTATTTATTAGAAAATAAAAATAACATTAACGCATGGAAGAGTTAAGCCTTTTTTCACTTTGAACAGATATACATATAGAATTGACGACCCGGTAAATTTTTACATATTTAAAACGAATTCAGAAGTAAATATATTTAACTTTCCAGTTGATATACTAGTCTAACTGGATATATAAGAGACAATTAATTTCGATATTTTCTGTAATGGTTTGATTAGTACTCACAGAAGAGACCTGGCTGCTAAAACATTGTTTCAGAAGTTGTCTGTGTTGTAGATCTTTTGAGGTTGTGAAAGAACAGCAGAGATGATGGTGATGAAGAGGAAATAATAGAGGACTCTTAGCTGCCAATTACATTGGGTGATAACAGGACATTTTATTTAGCATGCAATCGGTGAAGTTCAATGTGCCAGGTAACCTTTAACCACAGTTAGGGTGAACAATACTTTACTATAAATTATTCAACTTCGTACAAAGGAATAAAACAAAATGCAATAAACTACTTTATATGACTTTAAAGATTTTTAGATATAATGTAATTTAAAGAGAAATTATGCTCTCTGATTAAGTCATGGCTTGCACTTATATACATTACACTGTACCATTGATGAAATTGCTTAATCATAAAAGTAGACAAGGACTTTCGTGATATATACATGAGGCACGACTTTGTCATTTCTGAATCACATTAAAACTTCAATATTTGACTGTCCAAGAAATCAAATGTAATACTGACAATAATATGTACGTACACATTCTCCCCTCCCAGAAACTCCCCTGAATTGCAAATCGGTTTAAAAGTGATAAGTAACACTTTCCGCCCTCTTTTCAAAAAATAAAGTCAAATTAATTATATAGATTTGATTCTGTCTTTTCTGATATACAGACTGTGAATGTGAGTATCTCACATTAGACACAGAGTATCTTTAGATAACCAGCAATTATCCCCCATCCAATCAAACTGGCATCACTTAGATGGTGATGTATAGGTGAAGATAACAATTACAATGATCAGTTCAATAAATCTAGTGAACAAAACGAACAGGGCAAAACACGGACCCCTGAAAACACCAGAGGCGGGTCAGCTAGGTGCCTAGGAGGAGAAAGCATCCACTGTCGACCGGTCACCTCCGCCGTGAGTCCTATGTATTGACTGGGTAGACGGATTACTCCGTAGTCAAATTTATTATAGAATCAATGATATAACAAATGTTATGAAACATGTCAAACAAATTCGACCCAACGATAGTGTTACATGTATTTACAAACAAGTTCATTATAATGACCGTAGAATTTGCGAAAAGCTTACTTTAAAATGGGGTTATAGAAATATTTGTAACATCAACTTATTTGTCAGTAGCTTGCCTGCCATTGTTTAATATTGATCATACTCAGAGCATGCTCTTCAGTATTGAATAAGTTGGGAGACATAAATACTATATGCAGGCGATGTTGGAATATTACTTCATAAGTAAGGGAAAAGATGAAGTCATCTGTCATTTTATCACACAGTTTAGCCATAAGTTGGCCATTATCTTTAAAATCAGTAAAACATCCAAATATGAAACAGATCTGACAGTCTCTGTGGTGTCTTTTATTTGGAGTTCGAGTCGGCTCACTATTTGATAAAACGTCGTCAATATATTAAAATGTTGAGTTGAAGGCCACAGCAAAATTTTTCTTTTTCCGTAAAATTTTTAACGTACTTGAATAAAAAGTAAGAACAAAATCTCTACATTCTTTTTATGTTAGCATATATATATAATAAATAACAAATATTTCACGCACACTGACAAGCACACCCACCCAGCCACAGGTGCAAAGCCTTGTGTGTGCAGAATCCTGCATTAATTACTTTCCTTTCATGATAATCTGCTAGACATTCTGTATGATATGGTGCTCTTTACTTATTGTACCCTTTTAATAAAATTATTATAAGGCTTTTACTAAGATGGAATTCCAAATCTAAATTTAGAATTAAAAAACTTAAACACTTGCATAAACACAACGTCTTGTCTGGCAAAAAGGGACATGCAGATCCTTGACAGGTAAAATTAAATTGTATTTGACGTCAAATAATTTCATTTATTTTTGTGAAGGTTCTTGCTTTAAAAAGTTTTGATTTAAATTTATAAAGAAACTGGATGTATTTGATATGATCCATTGAGTCCAGTCGAAAACTGCAACCAGGAAGTGGTTTTATATAATGCAGTGTTATCACAAACAAGTTTCTCCTAGCTACGCAAAAATTTCGCAAGTGAAGAGAAAAATGTCCAAATGTAAAACAAACCCCTTGTTTTGTTAGCCATGTTTCATACATGTATCAAAAGTAAATTACTGCAAAAATTACTTTCGCGCATGAATGGTTTCAACCAAAGCGTTCGTAGGACCAGATATGCGCACAGTGACTATAATTTTACTTAATATATATGTACAGAATATTTAGGTGTGCAAATGTGATATCATTAACGGGCCATTATGCCATACCATTATTACATTATTTTCTTAATAGTCAATTTTAAGGAATTCTTTGTTACACACAAATACTGCTTATGTATAAGCTAAGAGATGTGATTATACATGTATATTCCATTGACCTGTACGTCCGTTACTAAGAATGCTGAAAGGTATCGCTCCTAACATCATTAACGTATATTTCGATAGAAAAAATACCTACTGCAGACCTTAGTTTGATTCTTAATGTTGCAAAATTGAAAATGTCAGACATTCTTTGGAAAAAAAGAACTGTTTACAATGCGGTTTGTCGACATCGAAACTTTAAGCTTTATATGGAATCATAATGTTCAATGCGTGGGTATAATAAGAAACAATTTACAAAAGTAAAATCATATTAGAATACATTTCTTGTGACGCATATTATATCAAATTCTTAGAACTGAGCAACCAAATAAACATGCGGTGATCGAGTCCAGTCGTAAATTGCAACCAGGAAGTGGTTTTATCAATGCAGTGTTATTACAAACTTGTTTGTGATATGCAGTGAAGGAGAAACTTCAGGTGTACTATACAACGGCATGTTCGAGAAGTGGTGTAAATCAGATGTGGATACTTAAACCTCCAAGGAAATTTGAGAAAATTTTAACAAAATCAATTACATCAAAACGTACGACTTTTCAACACTTAATACAATCATTCCAAACGATAAATTAAAATCCAGGCTTTTAGACATCATAACTGCTTTTTCAATAAAAATGGAACTCGTAAATATACTTATTTCTTGTCACTGGTCATTTGCAAAATTATTTTGTTAAAAAGCATTCTGATTGTACACACAAATACTCTGAAGTTGATATTAAAAAGTTTCTGATTGACATAGTTTTTGGAGATCAGTTCTTTCAACAATCTGTTGGAATTTCTATGGGTACCAATTGCAACCCCCTTGTTAGCAGGCCTACTTTTGTATTCATAAAAACAACATTTATCCAAAAACTTCTACACGAGAAAACGAAAACACTTGCTGTGGCCCTCAACTTGGCATTTAGAAATACCGGTATGGACGGCGTATTATCAATTAAAATTAGTTACTTCCATTCATATGTCGACTTGATATATCCCAGTGAGCTTTAAATGAAAGATACCACAGAGTCTGACACATCTGTTTAATATTTAGATATTTTACTTGAAAAAGTAAAATTAGAAAAATGGTAACCTAACAACAAAGCTTTATGATAAACGTGATGACTTCAATTTTTCAATCGTCAACTTTCCTTACTTATGTATTTGTATACCCTTATCACCTGCTTATGGGGTTGTTGTCTCCCAGTTGATTTGATACGTAAGAACATGTTCTTCGTATGAACAATTTCTAAAACGAGGCAAGCTATTGACAAACAAGTTGATGAAACAAGGATATCAATAGTCTCGTTTGAAGAATTATTTCGCAAGTATTATCGTCGATACAATGACCTTGTCAGCAAATACAACCTATCATTGTGTCAAATGCTGATTGACTTTTCATACTAATTGTTAGGCCATTATTTACACACTGAATTGTCCACGATTTTTTCCTTTTTTCCCGATAATGACAAGGAGCACACGGCGGGTGTCTCCGGTCGACAGGGGATGATCATTCCTCTATGGCACCTGATCACACCTCTTATGTTTTTGGAGGTTGTGTTTGCTCTGCTCCCGATTTGTATTGTCTAATTGGTCTTTGCGCTTGAAAACTGTTATCTCTATATTTCATTCCTTACAATAAGGTGACTTTAAAACTACATGTTATTTTCACCTTCTACTACAATTTTATAGAGAAAGTGGGGTGTTTCTGACATAGGAATGTCAAAGTAAAAGGTTATAACAAGCAGTGATGAATCTAATAAATTCAGTAAACAAAACGAATCGTGAACAGGACACGGACCCTTGGAAACACTAGTGTTGGACCAGGTGCCTAGGAGGAGTAAGCATCCCCTGTTGACCGCTATGAGGCCTGTGTTTTGATCAGGTAGACTGAGTACTCTGTAGTCAAATTTAGTAAAGACAAAGACTGTGAAACATGTCAGACAAAATAAGGTAGTATGTCTGTTTATGCATTTTCTTAACGATACTGTAGCATTAATTTTTTTTTGGAGTGCAGGTCACATCACTTTAAAATCTTAACCCAGATTAGGAGTGTTTAGATAACATGATGAAAGGTATATCTAACTTAATATAAATGTTTATTGATGGAATCCAAATATAAAATGAACGAAATGGTTCACCATAATGGGCGTATTGCAATGTGATCTACCTGGGTGAGCGGAGCTGACTCACAAAGAAAACATCTATAATGCGAATCTCAATATATCTATCTTTGACCTTCATTGACGTCTTGTATAGAGAATTAATGGTATAAAATTACTTGGAAAGCCCGAAAAGAAACGAAAGTTGGGTATTCCATAGATCTGAATACCGTGCAATTTAGATGAGATTTACCTGCGTGGTTTTCTTAAATACGATCTGATATTGGTTTTTAATATACCTTGTTTATCTGCAGAAAATATGTTTCTACCGAGAAAAACCCAAAACGTTATGGCCATTTTATTAAACCGAGAAAGAATAGTTGGAAAAATCAACACAGAAGTTCATTTTTCTCTCTGATTATAGCATTTTCTTGTTGCTTTGTCTGGCGGGTGAATTTCAAAAATAATGGTGAAAATGCATTATCCATGTACATGAATAATCGTTAAATAAATATATTTATTTTGTAGATAACAGTAAGATATCATTATGACTGACAAAAATAAAGATTATGAATACGTGTATCCTGAGATAGAGGATCCATTTGTCAGTGTGGAGACCTGCAGAAAAACGGACAAAACCGAACCACAGATATTACAAAGTCTGATCTCCCAGGAGAATGGTTAGTTATGGAAAAAACTATCAGTAGCAATATTCTTCAATATTAGTCAACAAGTAACAAGCTAGAGAATTAAAATATTAATAAAACAATTAATTTTAAAAAATTCTTTATCAGTAAAATCCGTAAATTGGGAGAAAAATAGGTATGTATGCATAGGACCATTTTCATAAAAATCATAATCTTATAATAGATTCATTTACACATTGACATAATATTTTATGCCTCACTCTTTTATATACAATAATATTTAATATGGAAACAAAATGTTAATTAGTACTGATTGACTGATCACCGGTAGCTTATTGTACATGTAGTACAGTAGAAGAATAACAAACAAGGCAGTACCTAACGGAATTTGTAGATCACTATGTCCTGTGTGTTATCAAAGTTGGTAATTTACATATACATTAAAGCTATATATGGCGTATCTGAGCTAAAAAAATACGAGATTGAGTGTAGATGAACATGATATTTGTTATTTACGTTCAAATTAATTTTTTTTTACCCCGCGTTTTAATAGTTAAATTGACTTTAAACTGTGTCTGATATCTAAATGCGGAGTCGGTAAATAAATCGGTCATTGTTTTAAATTTCTAATATCTATGAAACGCGATTGATTTAAATTGTGTAATTTACAGGAAAGTCCTATCTTTATATAAAGTAATAAAACAAATAGAACTAATCTTTTTAATTTTAGTTAGTCTGAACTTATCAAAAATACGCCACATATGACTTTAATTATTCCCTTCAGAAGATAATTTAACTAGTTTTCTAGTAGTATTATTTGGATTGGAATATTTTATAAACATTTATTACATACTTAGTAATAAATACAGGATTTTTGCATATGTGATATGCCTGACGTCACAATAGCCACTGTACTACATGTACAATAGCAGGGCTGATATGGATCTGCAGGGCTGATACGGATCAATATCACACCCCTGGTAAATTAAACCTCAAAAAACAGTACTTGTGCAGGGCTCTAATTGTCGACTAATTTCGTCGCCATGGTGCCTAAAAATTATGATTGGCGCCTAAATATTTTCTATAAGTCGCCAAATTGGCGACCATTTTGAATTTACTTGGTGTTCGTCAAATTACTGACCTTTAAACATTTTCAATTTTTATTTTATAAAGAGCAGAAAAAAATTCAAAAAGTTAGCAAAGGACATATCTCTATATATTGACTAATATCAGTTTTAAAATTGATGCCTAAGAAAAATTAGCATTGGCGACTAATTTATTTTGATTAGGGGCCAGTTGGCGCCTAAATTCTAGAAGTCACATATAGAGGCCTGTTGTGGTGACACACATACCGATATTTTTTTTTTTTTTTTTTTGGAACACATTCTTTCTGTTCTTTAATACAATAAGCCATGTGCCTGTTAGAAGTCAGTGCATGATTATTTAATTGTTTTTTTTCTCAAATTGATGTGTGCTGTATTTTATTACTAAGTATGTAATAAACATAATAAAACATGCCCTTGTCCACATCACATCCTGTATCAGCCCTCGACCAACATCAGCCCTGAGGCCTTCGGCCCTCTGGCTGATATTGGTGTCTCGGGCTGATACAGGATGTGATATGGAAAAGGGTATGTTTTACTCTCTCTATATATAGTGTTATCACGTATTCCCACCCTTGTTTATGCAAAGGTACACAGTTAATAGATATAAATCAGTTGATTTTGTACTGATACAATACATTATACTTAGTTTAGTCAAAGGTAAGAAAATTTCGAAAATTGCAAAATGTGAAGCCTAACAGAAGAAATTGAGTTAATTACAGATCATTTTGATGATCCTTACATTTCTAGAATAAAATAAATGCATGAACATGAAGGGGACATCATTCGTAGAATCAATTGGAATTTAAACAAGCTTTGTTCACTAAGAAACTTTGTTGTTCAGCAAGTTTCACCCAATTTGCAGAGATGCTGTCATATGCGGTTAATCAAGACCTTACGATAATGCATGCATATATAACGTTTTGATATATATGTCTAAAGTAAAGAATTTTGTTTTGATTTGATTTAAGCTCATAATTATATGTTTTTGGGCAATTTCACATGTAACGAGTTACCACTATGCTCTCTTTTCAAAGATGCAGTTGTTAAGATTTTCAAACTTTGTACTGTGATTTAATTTTTCGTATATTTGTATCGATTAGGCATATTAGGCTAATGCACAAGAATGTTTTTTTTTATATAATCGTTCATCCTACCAAACCAACAAATTTTTTAGGAAACATCAAAGACTTGACTGCCGAAGATTTTATTTCATTTCTGGAAAATATTCAGGGAACAGTAGAAAAAGATTACCTGAGATGTGCAGAAACACTTTTACTACCAAAACTACAAAAATCCAAAGACATGACATCGCTCTCAAAGCTGCTTTCCATTGACGAAAGTAAATTTCAGAATTGTGTTTTGAGATCTCTTCAAAAATTATTCATGGAGATGGATCTAAATGAATACTCGGTGGAAGTCATTCAAGTGTGTCTGAAAAATGTCGCACAACTTTTACAAAAATCACAAGAGGAAGATTCTCTTCAAACAATTATAATGACGCTACAAACAGTACTTAGAAGTTGTGCAATAGCTGTAATGCTCCATTGCTCCTACAGAAAGGAAAAGAAAACTGTGTTTAACAGCATAACTAAGAGTTTGGAGACAATAGAGAAGATGTGGAAGATCGGAATTTCTAGAAGGAAAATAAAAAACGAGGAACCATTAAATTACCAAATGGTTCAGGGGAGTTTGGCTCTCGTGGCGTCTATGGGGAAATTTAAGTATGGGAAATTTTTAAAAGATGTTTTTCAAAATTTGGATGATTCTTTCACCTCCTCGGACCAAGAGGTGTCACTTGGGAAGATCGGAATTAGTGGACCTGTTGCCGAGCAATACGTTATTATTCTGGGAATTTTGACAAAGGTTTGAAATCAGTTTTTGAACATTAAATATCTTTTCAATTGTCTAGGTAGCTTGCTGAATAGTACATTTATTGCATGAACTTCCTTTCTAGATGACAAGCAATCCACGACAAATGTGTGAGAAGTTCGTTAGTTTTCTGCGTCCAATACTTCATCAAAAACATATGGAAAAGAGATGGACAGAACCTGAGTTCAAGCAACTTAGATATCTTGTTATTTGTGGCATAGCATTTGTAGCAAGAAAATGTATGTATCATATATGCCAAATCAGCTCATTCCTTCATTAAATAATTGAATAACCCAATATATACCAAATGTAACAAATTGTACTAACTCTATTTTGTTGTAGTTTCTCAAATAGAAACAGGGCGTGTTCACAATATCAATCTTTGTGCACCTGATCAACAACTTGTCCCCGAAGAAATGTCTGACTTTCTGTTGTCCGTAAACACAAAAGTTGCACAACCAATTATTTCTTGCTTGAATCTGTCCGAGGGAACGATGATTCAGCTGGCCGAGTCCTATATTGGGAGAGCAATTCCGGGGCTGGTTGTTCATAACCAAGATCGTAGAAATCTCCCAAAATTGTCAGATCATTCTCACTGGATGGTATCCGGAGGTCGACTGTTTAAAAACTTGGTGCGTATAGCAATTAGAGTGCCAGGAATATCGGGTATTCAGATTCAAAATTGCAAGAATCCGATCGAAAGCAAACAATTACTGAATGAATTTGATGTAATAAAGACATTACAAGGAGACAAAATTCATGTGAATATTGTGAAAATGTTTGCATTCAACCCTAATCCCAGTCCAATACCATTTTACGTCATTGAAAGTTTTCAAACATTTCTTATCGATAAACTTCTGCATGCAAGAAAACGCCAAGAGTTTCTTTCACAGGATTGGATGAACAACCGGTTTTTGGACATTGCAAGTGCCATCGATTTCCTTCATCAGAAGAAAATTATACACAGGGATATAACCATAAACTCTTTTGCAATAAGGGAGTACCCGTCTAATGGTCACGAGAAAGCTGTTCTCTGTAGCCTTGAGATGGCATGCTCAAACGACATCGAAGCATCAGCAAACACTGGACATATAGGGGGTCAGTAATAGGGAGCTCTATGAACTTTTTTTTTGATTTCGTAGATTTTCTTTTCGTTTAAAAAAGACAACAAGTACTATAATATTTTTAAGAACAAGAGACGTTAATTATGAGGTGTTATAAAAGTATCTCATTCTTTTAACCAGATATTCATGGAGAGAACATTCCAACAAGATGGTCAGCTCCAGAATCACTATGGGATGATAAATACGATGTTTATACTGACATCTGGATGATCGGTCACGTGATCCATACACTGTTCACTTACGGCTGTGAGCCATACACGGAGTTATACAGTGAAACAACTGACGATATCATGGCTAAGGTCGTTTCCTGTGGACTGAAACCGTACAAATGGCGATGTGTTCCTCTTCCTTACCATCAACTTGCCACCGAGTGTCTGCACTTTGACAGGAGAAAAAGAACACCAATAGATAAAATGTGTCAACGGTTAAAAGAAATGAGAAAGAATCAAGAACATTTGCGGAAATCTTGTAAGCATGAAAGATATTTTATTGATCGTCTAAACATTAAATTTGGATAAGCAGATTTCAAACTTTCGTTAGATAAATTTTCTATCAATGTGTAACAATTTTTCAATACGGTATTTCTCTATGCTTTTATAATCTGATTTTGATAAAACTTGCTAGTTTCCAAATGCTTCTTCGACAGTTTTGGTTCTATTTATGCCAAACCTGGTACATATGAGACTACATTAAGATACATAATTCTCTACAAAGAGTTGTGATTTCGAAAAATGATATTTCTATGATAATAATCCTGAAAATTTCTATGAAAATTTTTCATATCGCTATTTCGCCTATACATTTGATCATATTAAAAGCAGGTCCGCGTCAACGGTTTCAAAAGGGGAGGGGGAGCAAAATTATCTGACAAGCAAATTTCATCTATCAGTTTTTAATTTTGACTGAGTTGTTATGATTACTAAAGGATTATGTGAAATTCTTTCAAAGCGATTCTCCTCTTACAGTTTGGTCCAATTTTTATAAAGTATAACACACACTTAGGTGATTCTAGGATGAAATGTGAAAATAACGATCAGAAATCATGCTCAAAAGTCCAAATGTAAAAAATAAAAATGAAGAGCAGTCTCCAAGGACTACGTAGATACTATTAGTGCAGAACTCTAGCATCTTTTTTTTTAAAGTGTAGGATCAGAATGACTTTTGGCACAATTTCAGAGAGTTTCATTTTTCTTGAAGCAGTAGTCAATGGTATTGTCATGTTGTAAATTTTGAATCTACCGGGTGGCAGTAAATACAAAATTTTCAATGTAAATTTTGTATTTACTGCCACACGGTAAATTCCAAATTTACAACATGACAGTATCGAAAAGCCTTGTTTTTCATTTATCTTCTTGGAGAGTAGTTTTATAAAGTGTTGAAAAGTCAAAACATTTAGATATTATTGATTCGGCAAAATTTTGTAATCTGAAAGTTTTCTAAAGTAGTTTTTTAAACTATATTATTAATATTATATTTGATTAACAGTCCACTTTTCGAATATGTTGTTGCACAATACTGCTGAAGTTTCTCCTTCATTGCTGTTAATATTTTTGTGAGGAGTAAAGGAAGAGGCTTTTTTTTTATTTAGATAAAATTGTATATCTGATGGTATTAGACGAACAATGTTGCCTGTTGTTGGTTTATAGAAATTTCTATTAAATGCTTTCATAATGTTACTTTTCTGAAAGTTTTGACTCGTTTTCAATAAAACTTGCTTATTATCTATTTTAATTTTTTCAAACATTATTTTTATGTTTATGGTGAAAATGAAAAAAAATTCTGTAAAATTCTTTTAAATTTCACTGCTTCTAGAGTTTTGGTTGGATTACATAAAACTTATGTACATGTTATGTTCATTTATTTGTCTTGATTTTGATAAATAATGTTGCAATGTTTATGAAAAATAGATATTTCTTTGAAAGTCTTTTACAGCGCACTACTTTTCCAACAATTCTGACCCTGAATTCAATAAAACTTGTTGCTAAAAGTAGAAATTTTTGTAAAATTACATTTATTTTTTTTAATGGAACCAATTTAAACTTGAAACGCCAAAAAATAATAAATAAATTAATTAATTATTATTAATAATAAAATAAAACAGATTACAATAAATAAAACACGATAAAAACCTGACACAGGGAAGCTCAGAAAATATCAGGATATAGCATCTTTAATGTTAAACTGAAAAAGGAAAGGTTATCTAAATACTGGTTTTTCTTGCCTATCAGTCTGTTATAAGAGCTAAATTCTCACCAAAGACTTTTGGTTGTGTTCTTTACAGATTGTGAGCAAGAATTACCTAAGATCTCAGATCAACAAACTGAAAGAGAACATAAACCCGAACGGGTAAGAGAGAGCTAGGAAAAGAGAGACATCTCAGTACAAATGATTTCCAAACTGTTTTATTTCTATGTTAAGATTTTTGGTTATTATATTTGATTTATAATATACACAGGACACGTGTTTTCATTTATAGGGAATTCCGTTGATGGTGAAGAAAATGAAAGAATTGCCAGGTAGTATGTTAAATAATGTTAGCAAAATTTTATTTTATTTATCCCTTCACGGTATGAAATAAAATGTGTAATTCTTATTTAGTTGCAGATAAAAGGAAAAGCTACTTTGAGATAAAAAGGCGGGTTCCGACGAGCCCTAATCCTGATTACGCACCTCTTGTGATGACTTTGGGTCTGGGGGATCTTTTATCCCCAGATGAACCAAAAATCAGCAGGAAGGTTAGAATCAATGCATGTCGAAATGTATAGTTAAAGCAATCATTATATTTTGTAATTTGTTTGCATAAATGACAAAACAAAAATTCCAATATCAACGGATAAAAATTACTAGATTACTATTGTTTCATGACAATGTATGAATCAGTCTTCGTTTCTTACAAAAATAAAATTACATTTAGAGCTCTAATGTATTCCAAGGAAAGTTTTTATCAAGTTATTTTTAGTAATTTTAAAAATTGTTATAAAATTTCCAAGATTTAAAAATATTTTTTTTCTTTTATTCAAAAACAATAATTTTAAAACCAATCTTTTGATCTGATTTATGATTATATTTCATAAAATATGAATCATAAATTTATATCACTATAATTGTTCTTAAAATGAAAATACTGCAATTGTAGGGATTTGAACTTGAAGTAGAGGAAGAAGTTACCGTAGACTTTCATGATAAAATACTCCCTAAAATGAGCAAAGATTTTGCAGAGAAAATGTGCATAACGAAATGGCCACCGGTGAAGCAATCTTTCACTCTTCAGGAAGTAAAAATAATATTGGTTAGTGAATTTAAGCTATAAAAGGTTTCAAAGCAAAAGGTAACAATTTTTGAATTTCACAGCTATATGTATACACAATTAACATATTGTTCCTATAGAAATACAGTTTCCCAGCATGTAAGAACATCATAGACTTAGCCTCCTCACAAGAAAGGACAGACGACCCCATCCACATTGTACATCAAGTTGCATGTCTTGTGAAAAGGATGCACGAAAAACATTGGTTATTGGTGGATATAACTGGGAAAAATATATATATTCAAGAGGAAAACGATTTAAAGGTACACAAAACTATGAAAACAAGTCTGTATGGCCCCCCACGTTACATAAATGAATACACTATAGAAAAATCTAACGTCTGCTAAATACGGTTGTTTAATATTCAATTATAATATTATGTATTTTTTAATCGTAAAGAACTGTGTACTGTGTTGGGAGGAAGAAGTGCATGTTGAGAAAATAAAAGGAAATTGATACATCAAAGCTTTAATTGTATATCTTTCTGCGCAGTATGTTCATAATAGGTAATCTGATATAAACACCTAAATATACCCCAGTTTTAATTATCTTGAATGTGTTTTTGATAAATAGAATGGACATGTATCTAATCATCAACGTTGAACTGACACCTCAACTAATCTTTTTAAGAAAATGTTGTTGACAAAGTTTTACAATTTTTTTAGGCTTGTCAAGTACGAATAGGAAGAATGTTAAGATTACCAACAGGGGAAGATAGCGTGACGTGTGGTAGGAAACTCGAAGATATTATGTACTGGTGTGTATATGTACATAAAGTTCTTTCGCTATATTTCAGATGAATTAACATACCCATTAAAATACGTGTAAAACTTTTATTGAAATCTTTTTTACTATAGTTTTACTTCCTCTTCTTTCTGCAGATGTTTAAAATTCGTGTCATTGATTGTAATATCATAAGCAAAAAAAAAAAAAAAAAAAAAAAAAAAAGGAGAGAGAGAGAGAGCAAAAGTCTTTCAGGAAACACATTTAACCAGGCTAAAAAAAGTTGATAATATTACAATGTACCATATTTCGAATTATATAGGAACCCCTCCCCAGAATCGCAGTCATTTATTCTATCAGAGAAAATGCATTGCAAACTGTAGGTTATTATTCTCTTCTAAGATAATCTATCTACAAAACCAAATACGTATGGTATGCTTGTCTTCATTTTCCTTTTCTGCTCGCCGACTGGAAAATTCATCTACGCCATGAATTCTATGTACTAATCTCTGAATGAATATTTTCTTCAAAGACTGAAGAGGCTAAGAGGCTGTTTCAAAAAATCACATAGGATATATATGTTTTAAAGAAAATAAAACGTAAACAATTTTCTATTTATTGACTGCAATATTTAAACATTGGTAATGTATTTTTAAATTTAATTCTATGCCCAAGTTTTTACGGAGATAAAGGAAAATAAAGACAAGCATGTCGCGTATGATTTTGTGGATAAATTAACGTAGAATAAAACGGTAATGAACAGTTTGCCAATGTTTTCTCTAAAAGAGTAAATGACTGTGATTTTGAGAGGGGGTACTTTAATTCGGCGTTAGATACCTTGTGTTATTTTCACACTATGGAGTTAAATCTTATTACAGAAACAAGTATCTGTATAACTCAGTAAGTCTGCATTTTCAAAAATTAGGCTTCCAAAGGAAGTGATTGGACACGGCGAAATGTCCACAGGAAGTGACGTTTATACAATGGCCATGCTGTTTTACGAGTTTTACATGGCGGTCTCTGGAAACGATAAGTTGCAATGTGTACCCTTTTCCTACAAACACAGATCTCACGTAAGTCGTTTATTGTCGACAGTTTTATTTAATTTGATATAAAAAATATCCAATGTTTGAAATTAGTACAACAGCATTTCAGAAGAACTCTGGTAATCCAACCTATACTCACAGTGCCCTTTCAAAAGATGAAAATCTTCAAAATCACCATTAAATTTTATATACTTCTAACATTTCAGTGAATGGAAGTGAGGTTTGATTTACCATACCAATATTGGATTCTAAAACTTCATAAAATTCCTTCACACACACACACACACACACACCCTCACACACACACACACAGAGTAAATGTTCACCTAGACCCCAATATTTACTCCTCACCAAAATATTAACTGCTGTGAGGGAGAAACTTCAGACGTATTGTGCAACAACATATTCAAGAGGTGGTGTAAATTAAGGACATAGGCAACGTACCTTACCTACTGATAATTTTTCAAGATATTCTTAATTTAAGATTATAGTACCATCAGATGTTCGTCGACAAAAAATCAGCATGCATTACCAGGGGTTTTGAAAAGAAATCAATTGATGAAAATTCTTGAATAATTCAAAGAAAAATACACAAAAATTACTAAACACATATTCTAGAAGTTTTGTTTATCCAACCTTGTTTTAGAAGAAGTGTACAACAGCATATATAGGCATACAAATGTAGCACACAATTCCTTTCAGTATTGGAACTCTTCAACTCCAGGGAAAAAGACAATAAAGTTCAAACTACGTTGCGTATGTCCTTAAATGTGGATTCTAAAACACTCCAACAAACTTTTTGAAAATGTAAAAAAGCATTTTCAAACATCAATAGTATCAAAGCAGTGACTTTTCTAGGCTTTATACAACCATTCCTCATGAAAACTTTAAGAGCAGGCTTTTTGACACCATAAACAACTGCTTACTCAAAAAAAATGAGTAATTCTGCAAATTCTTTTCTGCAAAAGAATTTGATAACACACATCTGTTTCATAATTGGATGTTTTACTGACTATAGATGATAAAGGCAAACTAACCACTAAAATGTAAGACAAGCGAGATGACTTCAACTGTTCCATCGTCAACTTTCCTTATTTATAAAGTAATATCCCACTATCACCTGTATATGGTGTTTACATCTCCCATCTTATTCGATACTTAAGAGCATGCTCCGACTACGATCAATTTTTAAACCGAGGCAGTGTGCTGACAGATAAATTGAGGTTACACGGATTTCAACAACCTCGTTTAAAGTCAGCATTTCATAAATTCTATGATCGTTATAATGACCTTGTTAGCAAATATAACCTATCATTGAGTCGTATGTTGGCTGACATGTTTCATATTAATTGTTAGGCCTTTGCTTTTATACTAACCTTGACTACGGAATGTTCCGTCTACCTCATCCACTTATAGGGCTCACGGCGGGTATGACCGATCAACAGGGGATGCTTACTCCTCCTAGACACCTGATCCCACCTCTTGAATTTCCAGGGGTCCGTGTTTTATGCCCCCCCCCCCCCTCCCGGTTCACATATTGTATTGTTTATAGATTTTTGAGTTCGATACCTGTTCGTTACTTTTCATTGAAATCAAACATCCAATCGATGAATAATATGATAATTATTTTCTGAAGTTTTACTACGCTCAATCAAAGCAAATGGACACGCTGTTATGGGAATGATAGTACTTACTATAGACGACAGTGTTAGCTAATAATTTAACTGTCTGACAAACGAGATTTCTTCAGCTTTTCAATCGATATCTTCCCTTATTTATGTCGGAATATTCCACTGTCACCTGCATATGGTGTTTATGTCTCCCAAATGAATACGCAAGATCATGCTTTGAGTACGATAAATTTGTACCGGTAAGTCGAAGCAAACTGATGACAAAAAACTGAGTTTACAAGAATGTCCACAACCCCGTTTTAAGGAGGAGCAGGACCTTGAGCTGAAAAAAATCCTGTCGATGATTTTTTTTTCATATTTTGAAAATTACTAATTTAGAATGTTTTACAAATATGAAAGCAGTTCTTTCAACAGATTTCTTGACTAATTTAAGAGATCTCGCCCCACAAATATTGCTCTGTACCGTATTGTATGAATATTCCACTTACCGAGTCCATATGAAATTTGTTAGTCCATTGCTTTTACATTTAAGGAGGCTCATTACACCCACAGTTTATTTTAGATTTCATTACAGCACCTCTTTTTATGAAGATTTCAAATATCCAAATGGAGGTTATGATACGATAAATATTTTTTAAAGAATTTTTAATCTTTTTTCTGATTTTGGTAAAATGTTTTATTTCAAGTCTCTGATTGAAAGTATTGCAGAAATCTCAGTGTCAAGTGATGGATATCATCTTCAGATATGTAAGAAATATAATAACACTTCATAATATTCAATATTATTTTTATTAGAAAAAATAATTTTCTCCCAAAAAAGAATTAATGTGATTTTCTTTTTAATCTTTGCATGAATAATTTGGAAAATCAGTTATAAATAAACAAGAAATGTATATTAATGAATAACAAGTGACAAATTGAATGAAAAATGTTTTAAGGAAATGAAAATTCCAATTTATAAAATAATTGGAATAAAAAGTCCACTTGCAAGAGTTATCTTTCCTAAATCCCCCTGACTCAAAACACTCAGGAACGGTTGATCATATCAGATTCAGAATAAGCTAAAATTTCTAAAATAAATATACATTTTTCAAAGAAATAAAGACAAGCACACAAACCAACAAGAGTACAGTTCTTTAAAAGCGCAAGTCAATTATAATTCATTTCAACGAGGTTGTAGATTTCAACTCGAATTTCCTCTATACACACACGTTGTCAGGGATAGAACTTGCGGCTTTCGGTATGACATTGTACAATAGTTGGGTAGCGAAGATTTGACTGTCATTCTCTTTGGTCTCTACTTAAAAGTAACCCTTCTTCGTTCGTGATTTATTTATGAATCCGTTACCAAATTCCCATTGTTTACAACATCGCATGTAGTCTATTTTTAGAGCGTTTTAAAGATTTAGATCATCAGCAAAGCGAACCTGTACAATTCGTCCCCAGGAGAAAACGGACAAAACAATGGAGGTTTATTTTTCTGTGTAGTACGTCATCAAAAAGTGGTGTAATGAGCCTCCTTAAAGCTGAACACGCTTCGTAAAAAGAATGTGTCCGCCATTTTCGATCGGACTCTCGCTATATCTCAGGACCCCTATATAAAGGGCCTGACTTAGTCACTGTTCAGTGTAATCGGTCGACACAGGTGTAGACGGACGTATACTATACAGCACTCGGTAGCGACAAAAATAACTAATACTTCGTCTAATGCAGGAAAGTAAGATACCAAAGAAACTTACAATAGTTGTACAGGTCAGTGCAGTATACAAACAAACAAAGATACATGTAACTGCAAAAAAATGTAAACAAGGTATTGCAAGATTACTAGCACGAACACGGGTCGCCATTCCACGCTGATACCCGTGACAATAAAGCAGTCAGGTGTAACGAATGCGAAGAGTATACCTTGGTGTTGATATCGTAGATATAATATCGAAAATGGCGTATACCTATTTACGAGTCGTGTTCAGCTTTAATGTGACTTCTAGGTACTGTGTATACTAGTACCCGATCAACACGTAGGGCTCACGATGGCTGTGAACGGTTATCAGGGGATGCTCTTTGTTGTTTAAAAACTGATAAATTCTTTTGATGGATAATAAAATGAGTTGAATAAGATGGTTAATGTTGTTTTCCTACACCATATGGATATAAAATGACTTGCCTGTTTTGTAATAACATTTCATCAATAAAGATGTTTGAAAATTCGTCTGCATGACCTTTAGTGCCAAAACTATTTCGAAATAGAATTTTGCAACTATAATTGATACATGTAATCAATGACACTGTTTTTCAAACACTTTATTTATTTGTCCTATGAACTTAGATTTTGAGTCATTTACATGACGGCCATTTTCCTGATCGGCCACCTGCTTGTCCGGAATGGCTATATGAGGAAGTGATGAAACCGTGTTGGGACCAAGACAGAACAAGTCGACTTACAGCTGCAGATGTTGAGAGGATCGTAGCAAGAAGGTAAAAAAGGAGTAGTATTTAATACTAGTGTGCTTTACAAAGAAGAACATCAAATCTTAAATAACCAATGTGGCGCAGTGGTAGAGTCTTCAGAATCGCGAAGTAAGGAGTTGATTCTTACGTTGCGGGTTCGAATATTAATTCCATTGCAGGACGTAGATTCCAGTCCGGGGATAAGACTGTTTAGCTGAGGTTCTTTGTTGCAAAAGATCCAGGCACGAAAAAGATCCTTCAATGCTCAATAGACGAAAGTTCCGAGAACAGACCTACATATTTCTGTATCCCACAGACAATTTGCGGCGTCTTAATACAAACAACAATCTATCCAATCCCTATCTGTGCTTTTCATAATTTTATCCTTATTATTTAAGAAAACAATCATAGCAATCCCTAAATTCTTCCCTTCAAATAGGGAATTTCAATGAAATAAAATATGATTAGATCAAATAATGATAATAGATCGAATAAAAATCATTCATCTCTACTGTATATCGTTACAGGATTACAACCATCCATGAAAGAAAGAAAAATGCAGAGATCGATACTTATGACAGGTACGAAAACATGAGTAAGAAATTGACTGAACTAAATTTTGTATCGCATGATAACTTGGAAAAGGCTGAAACAGCTGACGATGGAGAAAGCGACGAAGACTATGCTTATGTACAACCCGCAGATCAATCCAGTGGATCAATCTGCTTAGAGGAAAAGATGAATACCTACTATAATGATGAAAGAACCCCCAAAGAAGAATTTAATTCAAGTGCAAACACATCTAATAAAGCCCAGCATTCTGCAAAAGAATTTGATAACACACATCAAAGAAAAGGAAGTCAAGAATTTCAGAAAATCCCAGATAAAGAGTATTTAAAGCGCACATGTAGTGATCAGTCTGGGGAGCTAGTAGACGTTCCAAATTATGAACTATTTTCTCAATCAGAACAGTTTGATGCTGGAACTGAAGAAGAATACCCCTATAGTGAAACTCCTAATTACGAAAACGAAACTATTCATTCCTCAAGAATGAATATCGTTGATCCACAACCATTTAGAATTAACATATCTCATTTGGATCTACCATCTCCCCATGTACACAAAGAAAATCCAGTATTCCAAAGTGATGCCTCCTCCTATCCTTGTGCATATAACACTCCCTCTTGTGGATTAGACTGTGAGTTACAAGTACCAACTAGGGCAAGCACCTGTGAACAAGAGGACTCGTCGGATGATACGGACTATGAAAACTGATTTTGTTATGTGAATCAATGATAAAAATCTGATGAATATTTATTACCCAAATACCTTAAATGCCCACATACATATATGACACTTTTTCGAAGAAAAGGTGAAACTTGCTGGACAACTACGCTTTTGTACTTTTTTTAAAAAAAAAAAAAATCCATTTCATACTCAAATGTATTTCTGCCAGTAATCACACATTGTTTTGCTTCCTTTCGTTGATACTTTTTTTTTTTGAAGCTGCCAAAATGCATTGAACTTGATTTTATTTTTCTATTCCCTTACCCCTTACTAGATCTGTTCCAAATTTTGCAATTTCAGAATAACTGTAAGTTTGGCTAGGAAGAAATTTACTCTTGTTTATTAAGTATGCTCAACTTCCGCTAAGTATACTTAATGTTAGCTAAGTATACTCAAAGTTAGAGCCGTGCCGCTTTTAATAGTATTTTACCATTTAAAATTTTAAGTGAAGACTTATCTTCCCGTTCTTCTGATGTAAAAAAAAAAGCTTTCACTTTGCATGTTTTATATTGAAAAAAAGGTTCAAGAGAGGAAACATTATAGTTGCTCTGTGATTTGTATATAAATGTAGAAATTTGTATTTATTCTTTTTAAATAAACCTTTTCTGTACACATAAGTCAGCATACCAGTAATACATACATATCAATGTTAATATTGTTTATTGTTTCTAACTTGAGAAAAGTACTACAAAATAGACATGTTAGCTTTTATAAAAGATTCTCCAATTATTTTCCCAAAGAGGTTCAAACATTTTTATCAATATCTTCTTCATTCTGAAGTATATTGAGTTTCTAATTACTATGCTTGAGAAAATTAAATGGACTTCCAAATAGTTTGATTGATTTAGCAATTGTTTATTGCAGAATTTCCGCTTTTTGTCAGGGTGTTTGCAAGAAATGTGGTCCTATTGAACATGGACTGATATAGAAATTTGCATTCGACTAACTCTTAAAATCTATTAATATCTTCAAAAGTAAAAATAGAAATGTAATCTAGAATTGTCATGCCATATATATACCAGGGTATATATATATATATATATATATATATATATATATATATATATATATATATATATATATATATATATATATATATAGATAGATAGATAGATAGATAGATAGATAGATAGATATAGATATATATATATATATATAATAAGCTCAGTTGTATGTTTTCAATAGTTATTTCTGTACAATTATACCCAAAATGCTTTGGGGGAAGTCTGTGTATTTTTTTTCTTCTGAAATCTTTGTTGTTTGAAGTCTACAACCATTTTCAAGACTATTGTCTAATTTCAATCGTAATCGGATACTAGATTAATGAATGTATAATTCATATAGTACATTCTTTTCAACAGTTCAGATAACGATTTGGATTGATTCAAATGATTCAGATTTAGTATGAGATTTTATCAAAACAATATACCTAATCTAAATTTATAATTAAAAATTAAGAGTTGTTTAAACAATTGTCAGAGGAGGTATACAAACCAGACAGATGCTAGACAGATAAGTGTTTAAATTTTGTGGTTTTATAATTTATCTTACTTAACTACACTTTCTATTTGTTTAACATCTTGATGTCTTTTTATTGTCCTCGTATTACATAATATTGTACAAACTGTATGAAGATATATTTTGAGGCTGCGTCTTTTATTCAATAAAATGAAATGCATGGAGTATTCTTGAAAAATACGCGAGTTTCGAGATTGTAACTCTCCTACGATAGAGGCGCAAAAAGTATCTATATCAGCATGGAAGTGGGACAGGTTGTTAATGTATACAAACTTGCATAAATAAAAGAACGATGGCTACGGCTTTTAAAATTCATTTGATGTTATAAAAAGATGATATTGCTAAGGAGTCATCATTTTGATGATTTTGTAAAGCTCTTCTATACATATTTACAAAATTTACTTTCAGTTAGGATACTTGAAAACGAAAGAACGTAATAGTCTTATAAAAAAGAATTCTTTGATTGTACAAACCTTTTCTAAAAAGTTATTTGGCTCTTTGAGGTTATTATAAGGCAAAGAGTCATTCAGAATGCAATTCAGAATGCCGACGTACAATGATCAGGTGCGTGTGTATTTATGAGAGATCCATATAGATATATTCCCTCGTTTGATGTTAAATATCCACTGATATTTTCTTTTGTTCCGATTTTTATTTTCTTTTGTTCAGGATTTTTTCTTTCGTAGAAAAAAATTGACGCCTTTACTTTAATTCATTAATAAGTACATCCCGACAATCAGTTATGATGGACTGGTATATCGATGATGTAATGTATCCAATATAAATAACTGTCCCACCTGCCTGCTTACGCGGAAACAAAACTCCCCTCCGTAACAAAAGAGTGCACCAAGGGAGATAATCTCGAAACTTGCGTATTAGCCAAAGCTCAGGTTCAATGAAATATGAAGATAACCGTACAGTATTCAAGCTAATAAGTCCAGTAAACAATACATATTTTGAAGCAGAGCAAACACGGACCTTTAAAACATAGAGGTGGGATCAGGTGCCATGGAGGAGTGAGCATCCCTTGCCGACCGGTCACACCCGCCGTGTTTTCCTTGTCATGATCGGGAAATAACGGGAAAATCCGTCGACAATTCAGTGTGTAAATAATGGCCTAACAATTAATATGAAAAACGTCAGTCAGCATTTGATTTAATGATAAATTGTATTTCCTGACAAGGTCATTGTATCGACCATAGAATGTACGAAATAACGACTTTAAACGAGACTGGTGATATGCTTGTTTCATCAACTTGTTTGTCAATAACTTACATCTTTTTAGAAATTGCTCATACGTAGATCATGCTCTTGCGTATCGAATCAACTGAGAGATATATAAACCCGTATGCAGGTGATGAAGGTATATTGCTGCATAAGTAAGGGAAGTTGACGATTGAGAAGTTAAAGTCATCACATTTATCAGAAAGCTTGGTTGTTAGATTACCATTAACGTCTTTTTCTAGTAAAATATCCAAATATGTAACAGATGTGTCAGACTCTGTGGTATCTTTTATTTCAAGCGGCACAAGAATGGAAATAAGAATTGTTAATTGACAATACGTCGTCGATATATCTAGATGTCGAGTTGAAGGCCACAACAAGTGTTTTCTTCTTTTCATGTATAAGATTTTAAACAAACTCTGCTTCATATGAATACAAAAATAGGTCTGCTTATAACGAGGCGCAATTGGTACCCATGGGAATTCCAATAGATTGTTGGAAGACCTGGTCTCCAAAAACCACATAGATATCGTCAATCAGAAACTCAAACATCTTTTTAATATCAACTTCAGAGTACTTGTGTGTACAATCAGATTGTTTTTTTAACAAAATAATGTTGCAAATGACCATTGACAAGGTAAATAAATTTACGAGTTCCATTTTTATTGAAAAAGCAGCTTTCAATGATATCAAAAAGCCTGTACTTTAATTTATCGTGGGAAATGGTTGTATATAAAGTTGAAAAGTCATAGTGTTTTTATGTTGTTGATTTTGGTAAATATTTTGTGGTTTCAATTTTTTCAAAATTTCATTGGAATTTTTAAGTATCTACATCTGATTTACACCACTTCTCGAATATATTGTTACACAGTACTCTTGAAGTTTCTCCTTCACTACTGTTAATATCTTAGTGAGGAGTAAAGAAAGAGGCTTGGTAGAACATTTACTGGAACCCGCTATGTATCTTTGTTCGTAAGGATCTTTATGAAGTTTCGGAATCCAATATAGATATGGTAATTCAAATTCTTGATGGTTGTTGGGAATATTAAAAATATTTAAAACTGACATATGATTTTGAAGAATTTCCTCCTTAGAAAGGGAGCTAAGGGTATAAGTTGGATTACCACTTGTAGAATTAAATCCAACTTTCTCTGAAATACAATTTAAATAATGAGCCTTACAAACAAAGACAATGTTGTTACTTGCTTTGTCAGCAGGGCCCAGGACATACTGATCGTAATCTAATTCTTTTTTTCACTTCTAAATTATCGAACACAGAAGTATAGTTGGTTTTCATTTTACCCCTCAATCGCTTAATTCGAGATTTTAACATACATCTGACATTTAATCCAGTCTGACAACGTGTCAAAGTTTTCGTTTTCGTGTCTGGTCCATCGCCCGGCGTAATTTTCCACAGAATCCATAATATTTATGAATTTATGACGCCAGTTAAAAGATCGGGGTTCCCTAAATTTTGGCCCTTTTAAAATTAATGATTTAAGGTCCTCATTAACTATATTTACGTCACCAGTAATAACGTGTCCAGCAGGACTATAGTTGTAGGGTGAAGAAGAACATGAACAGGAAGGAGGATTATGATTCAAATATTCGATATCTAGGCTCTGATAAGTTTTCTTGTAATTAAAAAGTTTGAGCAATAGTCAATGCACATTTTTAGGAAATACAAGGTGTAGTCTTCAACTTGAAATATGGTGAAATACAAGACTGGACCCTTTTGTGATAAAGAATATTAGGATACTTATATTAGCCGCGTCAATTCCTTTGTTGGCATATTGGAGTCTAAGGAAAAAATGGGTTGTTTTAGCCGCAATTTCTTCTGTTAAAAGTGGCAGTTAAAAAAACAGATGATTTGCAATATCCATAACCACAGATTCGAGCCTGTATTCCGGAGTCGAGGAAACAAAAATGGACTTTCTTTGACCTTTTCAAGTAGACTATTTAAAAGTTTCAAAAGGACAGAGTAAAGTTTGGTGCTAAAGTGATGAGGACCTAACTGTTTATTTACATGAGGTAATTATGAATCAAAAGAGACTTCGTGTATTAAAGGTTTATTGTAAGACCGATGCCCATGACTACGCTGACGTCTCTGTGTATGGATAAAAAGTCCCGTCACATTTACATTGTTACACTGTGGACTGGAAAGATTCCCAACACTATCGACATTGCCATTGCATCCATAGGGAAAACCCGTGCCTAGTTTTCTAATCCAATAGTCTTCTCGTTGTCTACGAAAAGGTGTTCTCAGTGATGGAGTGTTGTATCATGGCAAATCGTTTCTAAAATTTTAACTTTCAATGACAAAATAGAATGATCAGGTAAATTAAAATGCTTGTAAAGAAGCTGCTGGCCCGCATTGTTAATATTAAAAGACGAGTTCCAACGAGTCCAAATCCTGACTACTCACCTTGTGTGATGACTTTGGGCCGGGGGATCTTCTAACCCAAGATGAACCAAAGATTAGCAGGAAGGTATGTATATAAATCAAACTGGATATTGATTAAACAAACAAAACTTGTTGTTATATTTTCTTCACATACTTAAACTGAAGAATAGAAGGATACAAATGAATAAGAATGGGGTATCTGAGTATCTTGAAAATTCCCCTTATATATATCCCCCACGCCCTTAATTTAAGATAAATTGTTTAAACCACTTGATGATCCTCATTTTGTTTTACTCAAATGAATCGTGAATTTGTATTAATTTTAAAAGATCAGTGATCTTAAAGTAAAATTATTTTTAATTGAAGAGATTTAAAGTTGAAGTTGGGGAAAAAAATAACTGTAGAATTTCATG